CTGGCTAAAAGCCTGTCAACAACCCATTGATAATAGGGTGCAATGCAACGTACTTTGGTTAAGAAAACACAGTTATAACCTTGTGCCCTGAATGCCTTCATTATATTAGGCTGCCACAAAGAAACAGAAGTATGAGAAGATCAGTGAGAAGAAGATGTCAACTCCTGTTGAAGTACTTTGTAAAGTGAGTGCCTTGAACAATGACAGTTTCTTTTATACAGTAGGAGGTATTCAGTGCTATGGATATTAGTTTAATGATGTTATGTGAAAAGTGAACTCATTTTGACGTATTGAGGTGTTTCATTAACTTGCATATTTTGTTTGACTTCCAGGGTTTTCCTGCTGAATTTGCAATGTATTTGAATTACTGCCGTGGTTTGCGGTTTGAGGAGGCACCAGATTACATGTACCTTAGACAATTATTTCGAATATTGTTCCGCACATTGAATCATCAATATGATTACGTATTTGACTGGACGTTACTCAAACAGAAGGCTGCACAGCAAGCTTCAAGTTCTAGTACGGCTGCGGCCACGCCGGGCACTGGTGCCAAGAGGCATGAACGAGAGGCAAAGACTAGAGGTAAGATCTAGACTAGAGTCGTATCTAAATGATAATAGACAGCTTAAGATGGACGTTAACCACCAAACAGCAAATTTCAGATAGCCAACAGCAAATGTCTAACCGCCAACAGCAACTTTCAGATCGTATTTTGAAGATAAACAGTCAGCCATTTGAAGATAGGACAATTTTTTCATTAGAATTGAAGCACGAGTTAGCACGAGTTTTGGGTTACTGCTGGTTGCACAACGTATCTTCCCGTTGTCAATTCATATCTCGCTGTTTTGTAAGGGAAGGGTTAGCAGACATGAATCTGTATTCGTTGAACAATCACCGCTGATCCTAAACTCAGTATGCATTTTCAAGTACATCTTCGTACTTCGTTCTCTTGTTCAAACTCTCTATTGGTCAAAACGCGTCATCTCAATCGCGAATACGAGGCTCTAGCCTGCAGGTGACGTGGTCTCGATGACATACATTCATGGGACAATCTCCGTATTCTAGTGTCTGGAACTGGTGCTGTAGACGGATTTTCAGGTTTCGCGATGGAAGAGTGCGGAAAATTCGGGGGGAGTGATTGGGTGGCCAAAAAGCTGCAGCAGAGGTCTGGGGGCACAGCTACCAACGATTAAATTAGTTCGAACAAATTAGTTCGAATTCTTTATTTCAGTTATACTACTGTAATTTAATCCAATGAGCGTTTAAATTTCTGGGGGGAGGGGGTGCAACTTGCTCTAGGTGGGATGGGAAAACGTCCTGAGGAAATGCGCACCCCCTACACAGTACACCCCCAGAAAATCCGTGTATGAGTGGTGCTAATGTTTAAATACCTGCGCTCTTTTCTATCTAGGTCGCTAGGATGTCAAGTAGTCGATGGTTATTAACAAGTTAAATGGTCCTGACATTGTTTTCACGAAACAAAATCATGCCAAACATCGAACTACAAATAATTCTTTGGATCAACTCCAAATCTTACTTTTAGCGGCCATGATAAAACATGACAGAAAAAAAATACGTGTAGCACTTCTTTTTTGGAATCGCAACAAGTTCTGGTTTCGAGTTGGAATGTTTTTTAATCTGTAAACTGGACTTGTTCACACTATATATATATATACTGTTCATACGTCATACTCAATAGTGAATAATTAACACGAGTTAGCAAATATTTTATATTTTAAGTATGGATCACGGGAAAGGGTGGGGGTCAGTGTGTGTCATGGTTGATCACCACAAGTTCGCCCAACCTGGAAAATGGCGGGGCCTAACGTCACTGAACTTGTGGAAAGCACGCTTGAAGGCCTGATTTTCACGGGTGCTTTTTCTCGCGAAGAATTTCGCCGTCGTTGAAAGGAGTAATTTTTTCCCGTTGTTCCCCGCCATTTTTCGGAGGGGGGGGGGGGGGCAGGAATTTACATTTACCAGCGCATTAATACTGATTGCCCCCAATTGGTAAACCCTCCCAGCTCGTTGGCCCAAGTTTTCTTCGACGAGTAAAATGGATTATTGAGTATTGATATAAAAATGGGAGGACATGACACATGAAACACCTGGAGTGAACTCAACCCTGGTGGTGAAAGGTTTCACATGCTGTTCGGCAACGTTTACTTCACGATCTGTCATGGTATTTTAATTTGAGAACTGAATGAATCCCAGCTAAAAGTTGACGATTTCACATAAATCTCGTATTATGCCCGACCCATCGTGTGTAAACGCATACCTAACTAAACCCCAATCTCGTGTTTTCATATGTCACAATTCATAGTTGTATAAATTATGTATATTTTGTTTCTTATTAATGTTCTATTATTGTTAACTGGTCCAGGCTTGCATTGCGTGAAGTTCACAAATTATGTACGTAGTATGCTAGATTCCATTCCTTTGTACCATAGTGACATAGAATATACTAAATAAGACGTACTGGTATCTAAAGTGTGATTTTTGTTTGGGTGAATTAACTGAATTTCTGTATTACCATCACGAGTATTGGGTGCGAGGCATCGATCAACCAAGGCGGACCGAATGTTGTAAATCTTTTAAAAATTTCATTTTGTGATGATTCTTTTACGTACTTTAAGCTCATTTTCCACTAGACGAATTTGTTCGCGCGAACAGTAAAAAAGTAGGAACTGTCCAACTTTTTCGCGGCAAATTTTTTCACTGACCAATCACATTGGTCATTGCCAAGATTTGTTTTTCGCTTCGCGCGAACAAATTCGCCTAGTGGAAAATGGGCTCTTATGCTGAGCATTGATTTTCACACAAGTGTCCAACAATGATGAATAATTTTGGAGGAAACATTTTGAATAAACTCTGTTTGAGCAGTCTGTTTGAAGGATCTAACTAAATTTATATTGCAAAGTACGTCCACAACTCAAGCTAGATGGAGTGATACGATTTCATACACCTGTAATATTGTCTCTCACAAGAATGGTTCAAAAATGTGCTTGACATCGTCAATCTGGTCTTGTTTGAGTGGTAATAATGGTGATCTAGTAGGTCCTCCGTAATATCCAAACATTTCCATAGCCGTCTTAAGACCTGCAATTCCGTGTCTCGCTGTCACCTACATTGAGAAGATTTGACAATGAGTATAAAGAGAGTGCAAATGACATGTTAGTCCTGCAGCAAACATCTTTCCAACGGCTCTCATATTAGCCATACATGTCACCAGCTAGCTTGATAGCAACTTCTTACAGACGCGTACCAGACGCAAGGTTAGTAACCAAACAAACTTGTTACAAGATGTTACAACTACTTGTAATTGTCCTGCAATTCAATAAGTTGTTAACACGATGTTATTGAGAAACTTGTAGCTTGCGTTGTCGTAGGTGAGTTATGTGCTTGATACACGCAGTACAACTCGTGTTGTAAACAGGTTGCATGCGACAGTTTTAGGAAAAAGTTGTGTAGTGTGAATATCGGTCTAAACGAGGTCGAGGATGAGAGAGCTGCGACTGTCGCCCCTGTTTGACCCGACCGGTAACTGTCATCGACTCCCATGTCGTCTCATCAACTTTGGGTTGGTTCAAATTTTGATGAGAATTTTTGCTACGCGTGGTAATTATCAGTCAACAACTCCGATCAAACGAGGACAGGAGTTATGAGAGAGAATCTCATGCAAACTCTCGCTTAAATATCCTCGTTTGACCAAGACGTATCTCTCGTGCACTCTCTTAAAGGTACAATCGTCTTCTTAGGATTCGATATGAATCCACTCCAGATCTCATTTTCGGATCTCACATAAAAAAATTAAAAGCTATCCATTTGTTATAACTTACAGCAGTATTTGGCAAGATAAGTTGATGTTGCAGTTCTTTGGCTTTTTCATGCTCACCCATCTTATGCAACTCAGCCAACTTACAAACTTCTCTGCCCAAAACATTGGCCAATGCGCACACTCCACCAACAGCCCCTAAATATTGTTCATTAAAAAAAAACGGAGTGTAAGGGCTAGGCTACGATTGCGGCCGTACACACGAAATTTTCCTCGTCCAAAAGCCGGCATGACTAGCTTTGGAACAATGCTCCTTGGGAAGGAAGAATTGTCACTTTTTGCCCCCATGAAAATTTGATGTGCACGACTTTGCATGCTGTTCTACAGCGACGTTCATTACCTAGACTAAGCGATGCATAGAGGAAGGAAGCAGAACCAGCCAAGACTTGAAATCTTCCTTTCAAAGTTCGGTGAATGACACTTCCAATTTTTGTGATCTAGACACAAGAATAGTAAACAGTATGAATAAAACAACGGATGCAATGACCACATAATAACGTTCTCTAAATGTCTAAAATGTTGTTTTTTTCCGCCTCCTTCAAAATTTGCAATTTCACTTTCTAGTTTATATGTTATCATACATTTCCTCCACTGTCTTTTAGTCCAATGATATTTGGATGTTTTGATAAATTAACGATTACTTCTTCAGGCAGATCAATACCAGTATTAGCTGGAACGCTGTATAGGATCACAGGTACTGGGCAGGAGTCGGCCACCTGGTAAATGCAAATTGAGCACACTTGAACATTGTATGTGATCGCTGGTATTTCTTACAAAACAATTTAGTGTAGCTGTTCATATACCTTAATATAATGCATTTCTAGAGCTTCTTTGGTCATACCAGACTTATAAAAACACGGAGTAGCAACAAGAACTGAGTCCGCTCCTACAGATGCCATCTTTTGTGCCATATTTATGGTTTGGTTTGTACCTGGAAAAATTCATAATATTAAACAGCACAAATTTAGACATTCAAAACAACGTCAAATAGTGCTGACCACTGATCTGTATAACTCATTTCCAAATGAAATTTAAACACATTGCATAAAAATAGGTACACATGTGTGTACATATGTTGCATACATATGTTACATTATAATTTGAAAATAAGTGTTTTGTTGGTATCACAAAGGTAGAGCAAATAGTACAGTTCCTTTTACATCAAAGTTACAGTGCTACAGCTGTCTCATGCAATGAAGGAATCTTCAAGTTTTCTATAACCCCAAAAAGTGCTTACGTCACACAATCTTCAATGACTGAACCATTAGAACATTAGGTATGTGCGATGCAATGTGGGACTAGACTACGACATAGTCTGTGTGTAATGGGACACATGTGGGTCAAATTGAAATATTCACTGTCTGACAGTGACGTGATATAAGGCCAATTGGCAACTTTGAGGCGAACAAAACTACATTGAAAAATATAAATGCAAGAAACTTATAGATAGAACTTCTGTCCCATGAAGATGCCAGCGTGGCAATGATGTCTCAATAGAAATAAGTATATAAATATATGCACACTATATTATAAGGCAAATACCTTCACATGCTGCACCAGCAATTATTAATTTTTCTTTTGGAGCAAATTCTCGAACCTTCTCCACAAGTTTAACTCTTTCATCAGGATCCATATAAGCAAACTCACCATTTGATCCTTGCACAACATATCCTATATGGCATGCAGAAATGCTATTGGCTACCTTCCCTTTCCATGCTGGGTTCGTAGTAGGGTCTGAAATTTGCAGTAATATCCCAATATTGACAGGACACTAAAATTTGGAAATATGGTAAGCAGTATCCAGAAGTGGGATGCCAGATTTTCAGGGGGGGATACCAAAACTTGGAATCCTCGTATCCCATCTGGAATGTACACTGTAGCACATATATTATTAATGAAGCAACCGACAGGGTTACTTAAAAGGGCACTTGAAAGTTTGCCCGAATTTGTAAGGTCTGTAAGGAGGTTGCAATGAAATAATCAGTTACCCCCTGCACCCCTATCTTGTATGCCTATGACTATGAAGAAAATACTGCTCTTGCAGCCTTGTCTCTTTCTTGCATACCTTTAAATGGGATCTCATTCCATTTCTGGACATTTTCTTTTAATTTGACATAATCAATCTCTTCCTCTTTATTAAAAGGTGTTGGAATTGGAGGAAATATTCCACTTATATCCATTTTATTAATTTTTATTTATTAGTAACCAGATACCTTATATGAAGTACTATGGATGTATATTCAGTATGCCGCTGGCATAGCAGTGGCTCACGTTTTTTATTGAGGAATTTTTTGTTTTACACCCCCCGGCCCCCGGGGAAGTAATACTATAATCTATTTCCATACTGTTCAGGAGAATGAGGGAGAAAGCGGACATCAGGGCTGAAATAATCGAAAAGGTAGCTATGGAATGAGTCATTATTTGTATAAATCACTGTGTCTGTAAATTTGTATAATATGGTAACACTAAATTCGTTCTGGAACAAGGGTATATATTGTATTTATGCTAGTATCTGATATTTATATTATATTTCCTATTTTTATTATTTATATGTGTATAAAATTAGAGAATTATACGACACTATAGGTTTCGGATGAAAATGGAAGAAATTAGGGCTCTTCTAATAGTTTGAATCATGGAAGAATAGCACAGATGGATTTTCAGATTTTGCTCCAAAGGTGCAAAAAATTCAGGGGGGGGGGAGAGGTGAACTAGGATTAATCCAATTAGCAGTTAAATTTCTGGGGGAGGGTGCAAATTTCTCCAGGTGGGGTGGGAAAACTTTCTTAGGGGGTGGAAAGTATTGTGCACACCCCCCGCCACCCCCCAAAAATATAGTTCCATGGGATATTTAATTACAGGAACCACCAGTATAAAATGGTAACTCTGAAAATGAAAATTTTAATTTTATATGTAGCTTTCAACAATGTCTTAGTCTGATAATGACTAAAATTTATTTGCAAGCTACAAATTATATTTGCCACACATTTGAAGGTCATAAACAATTTTAATACCATTTTTCCCAGCTAATTCCATTTTTTTCTAGCAGACCACACTGCTAATCAAATTATCAATTGACCACTTGCATAATAGACAAAATTTTGATCTCAACAAGTCTAGACAAAAATTTCATCACAGCTTGAAAGAGCATCACAAAATTAGTAATATTCCAAAGTTTCGTTGCGAAATGTTGTAAAATGCCGCGGATAATATAGCCTTGCGAAGTTTGTAATTTTCAGTCATTTTGCACTACGCGGGGGAAATTGACAGACCAATACCCTTTGGGTCTGCAGACCTGCCAAGTCTCACGATTTAATCGTGAGACTCATGGTTTTTTATGCTTTTTCACGATCTCAGGTCGCAAAAATTTCTAAATCTCACGATTTTTCAGTCAATCTCACGACTTTTTAGATAGCAACTCACTATTTCTGCTACTCAAGGGTTGGCAGGTCTGGGTCTGTCAATTTCCCATTTGTAATACAAAATGACTGAAAAACGGCAAACTTTGCATGGCTATATTATCCGCATTTTACAACATTTCGTAACGAAACTTTGGAATATTACTAATTTTGTGATGCTCTTTCAAGCTGTAATGAAATTTTTGTCTAGACTTGTTGAGATCAAAATTTTGTCTTTTACGTAGTGTATTTCTTTAAATCAAAGTCAAAAGATCAAATTTTGGCACACTCCTTGCAGACAAAAACAATAGCAAGTGACTGTAACTGACATTCAATTGCTCCATTTTTGTCTTCACTTTTTGAGGCCATGCATTTTTCACAAAATACATGACGCTTGTGGTGTTTGATCAGGAGTCACATAGTGAGACAAACGTAATGAAATTGTCGAAATTTATTTTTTCGTGTTTTGAGGAAAGACTTAAACAACTTGAAGCCGGGAATGCTGGCATCCTGTAAATAGTATCTTTTTATAGTCTACTTAAATATTTTGATATCATATATTGTTACATTATAGTTAAGCTTTAGCAATACCTGTAAAATATGGTCATGCTAATAAAGCGATTATCAATTCTAGTGTCACAAGGGGGGGGGGGGAGGGGTATCACAAGTGGTATCACATGATGGAGAGGCATATAGGGGGAAATTTATCAGGACTGGAGTTTCCATGTCAGATATATATGGAGCTAGTATTAATAAAATGAAGGACAAAGGCAAGATTTTTTATTGAATCTTTCTTTAATAATACATTGAAAATTGATTACCTCTAGCTCTAGATCTATATTAATTAATACTTATTTCTACAAACCAATTTATTTTTACAAACTTACCAGTATATTCAAGCTTTTAAACAGTGGCTGCTTTTATACTTGAGATTTTGTGCTTGACTTTTTAAATATTATATTTATTGCTAAAACAATTTGGAGAAATATGCATTTGCACTGAATTGAAAAAAAGAACATGCTCCAATTGCAATCGGTGTTTTTGCTTATAGAATTAGCAACTATCAAAATAAATTGTCACAAACCAACTAGACTTCTTGAATTGACTAAACTACAGTAGCAACAATTAAATTCTACATTTAAAATTCAATTCAAGGGTGCAAATCATTCTTTTGTTGCGATACAAAGGCCAAGTAAGTTGCCCAATTTAGTCAATTTAATTGTTAGTTCCCAAAGAGTTCTCTTCAACCAGAATGGCTTCGCGTTTTCCTTCCAAAGCAACAAATTGTGTTGAATGCATTCCTGGTTCGGTTTTGCAAGGGCGTTTCAATGAGCCATTCTTTTTTATGGCAATGAACCACTCGTTTCCTCTCGAAGGGTCTTTCTTCCATCCCACACAGTTTCGTGTGTGAGAGCTCGAGCTGTAACTGATCCAGTGGTTCTCTTCGTGTTTTTCATTGAAAAATGTGTTCGGCTTATTTCGATTGGAATGCCGCTGTAAAAGAAATAATGTTATTGCAGTTATTGCATATTGTAAGCGCTATCTTGTGGCAGATTTTTCAGTTGTATACTGAAAAAAGCTATAAACACAATACGTAAAAATCTCACAACTTGTCAACAAGATATGTTCGCTACAAGCTTGTAGCAAGCTTGTCAACAATTGTAACAATGCTGTTATTTTATCAAGGTCGCCACTCACAACCTGTTGACAAATTGTTGAATTGCAGGACGATAACAAATTGTTGGAACAGCCTGTAACAAGTCTGATGAACTCAACAACATTGTAGCAAATTGTCAACAAGCCTTATTTGACAACTTATCAACAAGCTGGGAATAAGCAGTGCGAACACATCCTGTTGACAAGTTGTTCGAACAGCATTGCTACAAGTCTGCTGCATGTTTGTTACAACTGTAATTTTAACGTACTATTTAAAAAACTAGCAGGAGTGTTTTATAAGTTGGAGTGTAGCAGGAGTGTTTTGCGAGTTTTTTAAATGGCTTCAAAAAGTCAAATCTTTATATAAAAATCTTTATATAAAAACCTTTATATAAAAATCTTTATATAGTTTGCATAACAATGGTCTTTTGTTAAAGTGTTCTTTAGCTGGTATAAAGACGTATGCATGTGACTAATTTCTTACTCAAGATTGGATAATTGCTTCATGAATTATTAATGAGTTTTTGAATACTATTTACAGTAACTACAAAATTGTGGTTAAAAAGTAATTTAAGAGTTTTAGACAACCGTCCCCAGGAAGTTTTAATCTTTTCATTATATGAAGACTGAGAAGTCATTTATTTGGTTTTAAATAATCCTATCAATGCCGAAATTTCTGAAGATGTCCATTCGCTTACTGAAACCTACAAATTGGCAAGATTGCTGCATGCTTACCGTTGAGGATAAACGTCCTTTGCTACTGAGCGAGAGATATCTTCCCGAAGCGACTCCTCTCAAACGTCTTAATATGTGACCAAATACCTGGATTTCGATAATAGCTTGATAAATGAGAAAGAGAAATGTAGAGAAATAAAATAATTTGCAGAAATGGCCTAATACACACGTAAAAATCTCACAACTTGTCAACAAGATGCTTGTAGCGAGCTTGTCAACAAGTTGTAACAATGGCAATGCTGTTATTTTATCAAGTTGCTACAAGCTTGTCACTCACAACTTGTTGACGAATTGTTGAATCGCAGGACGATAACATGTTGTTCGAACAACTTGTAACAAGTCTGCTGAGTTCAACAACCCAGGGTTTTTTCAGGATTTTCTCTTGGGTCCATTTTTGCAGAGAAGATTGAGTTTAGCTGAACAGCTAGGGTGGCTGCACCCCCCCCCCCCACCTCTACCGGGGGGCTGACACTTGTACTCAATAAATCTAGTTGGAACAGAATGTGTTAAAGCAGGAGCACTGATGGACACTATAAACTGGTTAAAAATGGCGAATGCGTAGTATTTCTTGTGTTGTGAGTTGAATTCCAGCCATTTTTTCTTAATTGTCGGGTTTCCAACTGAAAACTAAATTCCACACGTCACGAATTTAACTCAAACAACTTCATTTTTACTGCACTGAAACTTTGGTGAGAAGATTGAGTTTCAAAACTCAATTCAAGATTGAGTTTTTGGGGCCGTTTAACGGTCCTAAAAAGTCCCTGAAAAAAACCCTGACAACCTCGTAGCAAGTTGTCAACAAGCTGTTGACAACTTGTCAACAAGCTGGGAACAAGCAATGCGAAGAAATCCTGTTGAAAAGTTGTTGGAACAGCATTGCCATGTACAAGTCTGCTGTGAAGGTTTGTTACAAGGTCAGCTACGTTAGAGCAGAATTTCACTGCTTCTTATTTGACCTGAGTTGAATGAAAATGGAATCAGGGGTGGTGCTAGACCACTTTGAGTTGGGGGGGGGGGTGAAAATTTTGTCGAGTCACTACAACCACTAATTAATATTTCTTTTCCCAAATTTGTTCGCGATTTTTACTTACTGTGTTCAGATGACACATTTTGAGTGCCAACGATTCTTCCACTATCCAGAATCTCAAGCAGAAATCCAGTTCTACAATATAACTGAACTTTCATCCTTCCTGACGGAGTGTTGTTCTTAAAACTAAGATGCCGTGGTCTTCTCTTTATACTTCTGTCAGAAAACAATCCGTTTATGTAATTCAAATAGCCTGATGTCGCTTTCTTGTTCGACGAGAGACGAAGTCGCTTTGCATTGCTTGGAGTCGATGTTATAAGAATTGCACTAACGACAAAGTGAAAAAGAAGAATAGCCTGGAATCCAAAAAAGGAAAAAACCTCTATGTGAATTTATACTTACTAAACGCACAAGTTGTTACAGGTCTGCAACAAGTTATACTGACAAATCTGTTCACAAATCTGTTCGCAAGTTGTATTTGCATTGCTTGTTCCCAGTTGTTGTAACAAGTTTCGAACAAGCTGTTGACAACTTGTAACAAGCTTGATGGCATTTTCAGACTTGTTACATGAATAACATGGTTGTTGTAACAAGTCTGATACAGTCATGATATAACAAGAGTGTTACAAGGTTGACGACACAAAGTTGTAACAATATTGTTATATCATGACTGTGTCGGACTTGTTGGAACAACCTTGCAATAAGCCTGATAATACCATCAAGCTTGTTACAAGTTGTTAACAGCTTGTGCCAAACTTGTTCACAACTGGACAAACAGTGCGAACAGAACTTCAGTGTTGATGGCTGTGGGAAATGAATACCCCCTCCCCCCGTACAGGAACAGGCATTCATCCAAGCGACAACACCCCTGTATACAGAACGAGCAGGGGGTGCAGTCTAGCTAATCCTTTACTGGAAACTGGAAGAGTTTCGAATCTTTAAGGTAGATGATAGTTTCTATGTACATACACAGAAAAGGGTGTCAGTCCAACGCCTGTATTCCAAAAGCTCACTCACACTCAAAGAGTAGAGGTTCAATCTGAGCTTCTCTTGAGTGTCATTGCTGTTTGTGAATAGCTGTAGGGTTGTTATCGTACCTTACTATGCGACTACTCACCGTCCAGCTATTCAAAAACCGCATTGACACTCAAGAGAAGCTCAGATTGAACCTCCACTCATTGCCAGTGTGAGTGAGCTTTTACAATACAGGCATTTGTGTCATACACACATATTTTGGATTGGGGATAAATATATCATCATTTGCCATACTTTGCTTCTCATTACAATTCATGACACAGGATTAATAGTTATTCAGCCTCAATTGTGGTCGAACTGACATCATTTTGCGATTAAAATTCTTATTTTTTTAAAAACCTCGACAATATAGCAACCTCCGAAACCCTATCCCACCGAAGCCCTGTTTCAATTGAACAATAATGACTGGCATAGTCATAGATTGTGCCCTAAACAATGTTGTGAAAATACCACAAAATTAAAGGGCCCATAGGTCTACCGGCCGGCTCCTTCTTCATCCACTTTCTGAAATGGATTGTCGTCCTTGGACACAGACCAGCCAAAAGTTATAAAACACGTGTGTTCCCAATTTCGGTCTCTCGCTAGGAGCGAAAATTTGATAATTATATAATTTTTAGAAACACTACTGTTTCGGTCGGAGTCCAACCATTGATCCTATTATAAATGTCGAGTTTGTAATTTGTTCCCAATGTAATTGTAGAGACGTAGTGCTGAGTTTCAACCGAGAGAAGCCTTTGTTAAAGCGACAAAGTACAATGTTGGTTTTTCTCTGGCTATATATTGGTTTCCTACATGATGGGTTAGCTAAATCATGGGACTAATATAAATAGTTTGGGAAAGTTAAATATATCCTACTGATTTGGAAATTTACTAATCTTTAAAGGTTCTCACGGGTTCAATGTAACCTTAGCTTGTATCAGAAAATTTGATGAGACCTCTCAGACTTAGTTTTTTTTAAGAATATTATTACACCTTGGCGGATTATTGATCAGTGAGAGGATTTTGAAATTTCAAAAACGTTACATATATTAACGTTACATATATTTAACATTATTAGTAAATATATTTTAAAAAGATTTTAAAGTTACATTAAAATATTTTAAAAAGATTGGAAGACCGAGGAGGCATTTTTCCCTTGAGCCAATTTTGAAATTAGATTGAAAATTTCAACGTCGTTTCGATAATTTTATTCTATGCACTGTCCAACCATTTAAGTCGAACCGGGCGTTGGTCCAGTTGGCTGGGTCAGAATGATGAATATTCTCTGAGGATTATCGATTGTGAAACTAGTTTATATCGTCTATGCTGACCTGGGATGACCTGACTATGCGGACCTCTAACCACTGGTTGCCAATTTGAGACACTTGCATAATAATATACGCATAAATCCCGCGTGAATAATGAAACACATGCATGCTGTCTGGTTTTTAAGATCGTTGCGACACCATATTATGGAATATTCTAAGTTTATTTTTATTTATTTATTCAAGATGATATTTAACTGCCGATAATTGTGAAAACATAAATAAAGCGGTAACGGAATCTAATTTGCGCAATGCGATTACTCGTTAATTATAGTTGCGCCCTATCTGGCAGATCAAACGCGCAAAGATTGTCGCAAATTACTTGGCAATTAAACAAGATAGAAAAGTATTACAAGATACAATTAGATAAACAAGCCAACAAAGTATACGTAACAAGATGACATACGAAAATACAAATAGCTCATTTTGCACACCTTTTACAGTGCGCTTAATTAAAATGTAAATGTTACACTAGATTCTTAAAAGACAATATCTGAGCCTCGTTCGCATGTGACCACATCTTCATATCTCACGACGATTAACGGATTAAGATGGTGAAGAAATTTCTTTTTGATTTATGCAGTATTTCCTGACTGTGGCGAAGCTTTGGAGTTCAGTTTCCAAATTTGGAATTGTGATGAAACTTGTTAAGAGACTTAAGTGTGTATGTCGTATATCATATGTACAAATAGTTGTTGTTATATAGGAAGAGTTATATATTGGTTTCAAACACCAAAATGTATGTTGAACTGACGAGGTATACTGTTCAAAAATAACCATCTTCAAAAATGTTCAAAAATCAACTATGTTCAAAAATCGCCGTAAGTTCAAAATGAACCATGTTCAAAAGTCGCCTTGAGTTGTTCAAAAATCACCATCATGATGACTTCCAGTTTATAATACAACTTCTGAAATTAACCAATGTATAAAGAGTTGACATTTTAAATTGGATAAAATTTGCTTTCACTCCCTTTCGGCTCGATAGCTCCATGACCATGGGCCGATACGAGTTACTCGCCACAGTAATATGAAAAGATTTTTTATCGACGTTTATTACTGTGATATGAAAACACCGATATACTATGATCCCTTATTTATACTTTTTTTACATATAATCAATGCAACCATTACATTAAGAGATTAACCAAGACAACAAATCATTTTGCGATGTCGATGAAAAACGCTCTATTGCGCACAGTGCCTTGAAATGGATCCATATTTAACATACACATATAGTGTTAAATCAGAGCATATACCATCAGAGCTATGTGAAACTAAATGGAGCTTATAACTAAACTATATACCACAAATCGTTTCATTATGGGAAGATGCAATTATCCTTCAAATTGGTATCGAATTAGAATGTCTCATTATAAACTAATCAATAAAACTGACCGATTCGACCGCTTTGTTTGGCAAACATTTTACCTTTGTCGTGACAAACCTCATTGTGTTACATTGATCTAGACTACTTACCTTTAACGAAACTTGGAAACTCTCCATCATCAAAAAGATAACTTGTACAAATAGAACTTCATTTGCCGATAATTATCTGTATAGTTGATCTCGTAAAACAAAGTCAATTATGAACCATTTATGAATGCCATGAGACGCGCATTCGCATGCAATGAAACATAATCTGAGTGCTTTATCGCTCTTACACTTGCAAAGAAAGATCATAAAGCATTTCCCTAATTTTCTTGCAATACCCTTCTGTTCCGGAAGACCTCTCTTTGTGGGCCATTTTCAAAACAGTAACCGCCCAAATTATTCGGAAACTATTCAAAGAAAGAAACTAAGCTCTGTTTGTTCAGAAAAAGCGTGGGATTTCGAGTGTTTTTCTTACCTTTAAAGCACACATTTTCTTGCTTTTTTCAAGCCAAACTGTGTCGGCACAAGCCCTTCCTCACTGTTGTTTGTCTGGAAAGTGATAGTTGCTTGCTTTGTCAGCTCAGACGTTGCGTTATACTGGCGCAGTGGGCTTGTTGTGCGAGGTCTTCTTCAGGCATTCATTTGTCGGAATGGCGTTCTTTCAAGCTGAGCTACGGAGTTTCATAGTCAAGATGACCCACCATGCACTTCCTTTAAATATGTCAAGACGGTTCACCCTCAAATCTGCTTCGGTATGGTTACGCACAAGAACTCAGACTGACATGACATTCACATTACTGCCGAGCGCATCTAATCCCCACAAATTCTCAAGTGCTTAAAAGATGAGGCGGCATTCATCGAAGCCCAAATTGCTTTTATTGACTGATATACCATATTCCCATTATAATTTAGCCGACATTTACAATATAATTGAACGAGGTTTAAAAGATATGCTGGAATGACATTAAGGAATTTTCCTGAAAATTTTAAATGAGTTTAACTAGACTAGGGTTTGGCATTAAATCGTAAATTTATATGACGTATTTAATTGTTTATCATTATATAACAAATTGATATTGGATGCCGAAGTATGAGGCAATTAAAATAAGTTCATGTTGATAATTGTCTGGTTTTATCAATGATGTCTTCAATTGCATATATTTGAACGATTAGACAAAACTATGTCTGTGACCAAGAACCTTTCAGTGAAGGAGACTCTACTTATGCCTATCTATATGAAGCATGATGGTAACACAGTAAAGAAACTTTTCAATTTTTCGAAAACTAAGCCAAATGGAAATTTTTCCTTCGTTTCTTTTATATACGTCTTCTTGTGCTAATGAATCAGGCCTTGCAGTAATCAGTTTTGTCAAGAATATTCATGAGATACTCGATTCTACGACAAAGGTGGACCTCTCCATGACCAGAAGTGAACTGTAGTTTTGTCAATATTGTAAAAGGTCGAAAAGATTCCTGAGAGCTTTTATGCCCGTGATTCTCATCTCGACTCAAGTGTCAGAATGAAGCCACAACTTTGTATGATTGTGCGTTCGCCAGTATATAACCAAATTACTTTGGCTAACTTTTTAAATCATATTCAAAATCAAACACTTATGCAATTGGTTTTAACTACGCTCACTTTTCAATGAATAGAATTGAAAATACAGTCCTGGAAATAATTTTTCCTATCATTGGGGATAGTAGGGATATGCATGCATGTGGGCAGAAATATTATAGTTTTTCAATACATGAGCAAAATGTATTCGTATCATTGCGCATTTACCAGAAAAACATAAAACTAGGACTTTTGAGCCGGAAGGCATTCGGCTTCGTCTGGAACATAGCAGGAAGGTAGTGGCTGACTAACGTCCCAAGGAAAGGCTTTCGTTCGAAACGTTGAAGTTTCTCGGGTAGTTACATCGTTAACGAAGATATTTTATATTGTATATGTGCACTGAAATATGACCTTCGGCATTGAAGCACTCTGGGTGCGCAAGAACTGCGCAGTTGTCCATGAGGTCTTAAACTGAACAACGTGATCACAGCAAGGTTTCTATGATTGCAAAAAAACCTCCAAACATCTGTTTCCTCACTCGTCGCCATCTTAAACTTAGATTTTACCGCTTTCTGCTGTCTGGGGTGTTAGCCAGCGCTTCGGTAATTATGGCTAAAGAAAAACATCCGAAGTATCGGCATGTTGGAAATCTAATGTGCTTTCAACAAGGGCGAAGTGCTAGAGATACTTTGCATATGTTGTCACAGGAATCCATTAAGAACGTTGACAGAAATTTGGAAATATAGACAGCAAACGGTTTGGGCGTTTCTACTTGTAAAAACATGCGTATAATCATGTCTAGCTGTCCCTTAATATACGGATCTTTCTTCAGTGTTCTAAAGCTCCTTTGTGCATGCATGATTGTTGCTTGCGGCTAAACATGCAGGAATACTCAAATCCGTCGTCCTGAGAAATGTAAAGAGGAATTTAAATCTTTCCTTTTTGAGGAATAATGTTCTTTTACTTCTTTACGAGATAAGTGCACGGTTTAAAATGCAAGCGTTTGCCGCAAAGGACTTGTGCTTCGAAATTTCCACCTGAAGGCTCAGTGGTTTACACTGCCGGTCAAAGTTTCTATGATCACAGTAGGAATTTTGCACAGTTAATCATCTATGTTTTGAAGGATTGTAAGAAATATTTGAGGAAACTGACCAGTCAGTGTTAAACTTAAGAATAAATTATTTCATCATCAAAATGTTTCTCATTTTCCTTCGTTACCGAAACATTATTGCACAGAGAAATTTCCGTTGTCGTTTTTAGTGTTGCAAATTAGAAATCTATTCTGAACTTTACAGATACTGTCCATTCAGAAAAGAAGGAACAGCGGTGTCTTTGATGGAAACGACTTACATTCCATAAACGTGTTTTGCTAACACAACAGGTACTAAGATGCCTTGTGTGGAAATAATCTATTTTCAGATTAAAACCACTCAACTATCTCATGAAAAATATTTTATTTTGGTTCCTGTATTCTGCCGAAAGGCGTGGGACTCGGCACTCCAGTTTCCTCCCACAGATGGTGTTGACAGGCTAGGTTAGGATACATAGAAATAGATTACATAGATATGTACATAGGTACGACTCCGTCAGGATTTGATAGCTACAGTGAATTATGTATCGGATGAAATCAATGAAATGAAATGAAATGGAATGGAATGAAATGAAATGGAATGGAATGAAATGAAATGGAATGGAATGAAATGGAATGGAATGAAATGAAATGGAATGAAATGAAATGAAATGGAATGGAATGGAATGGAATGAAATGAAATGGAATGAAAGACGCAGAAAGAATTAAGTGATTAAAAACTTCATTTCCAGACAAAGGTCTCCGCTCGAAACATTGAAGTCTTGTCATATTTTTCTGGTAATTTTTACCTCCGCCAGTATGTTATGTTTTCGCCTGTGTGTGTTTGTCTTTCAGTACGATGACTTGAAAAAATATGAAACGTACTAATACGGAAATTTGTAGGACTAATGGACATTTCCCAAGAACAAATGATTAAATTTTGGTTAGGTTTCGATAAAAATTGGGTGAGAAATTAGCAAAAGTTTGTCTTGCTTTGCCGGGCAGAGTAAACTGAATACGTAATTAGCCCACTGTATAATTTATGCGTGATATATTACTTATAAGGTATTCATTCTCTTAGTGCCTCTAATTTATTCCTGTAATCCTTTACCATTATTTGTGCACAATATGCTCAGTTGTCTCCAACAACATTGAATTGTCTCTAAAGTTAGATTAAAACACATTCCACAAGTTGTGGTTAATTTCAAGCAACGCTTTAAGCCGTACTAAAACTTTAATCCATCGACTCACGCCAGACCTATCAGCGACAAAGTGCATGGCACTGATTAATACCCAAGTTTAAGTGTAGAGACCTCCATGCTGGCATACTTGAAAGGTGTGAACCCGAAAATTGTTCAATATTTATATTTTAACGGTTTATTTCGTTTGCTAGACAAGGCTGACAGGTGTAGGAAAAAACATGCACTCATACGCCTTTGGCTTGTAGCAGAAAAAACAGAAGGCTTAAGTCCTGGCTACCTCAGTAATTTTCATAAATTACAACTATGTCTATGGACATAACTGGTTGAAACCGTTTTTTTCTGTTTTTCTCTTTACAAAAGTTAGTATCGTATTTCTTTGAGAAGTTTCTCTAAATTACCAAAACCCGCTTGTAGGTTGTTTGGGGTAAGAAGGTCATGGTGAAGTTTTCCTTGTCAATCGACATAAACTTTCGAATATTTCCTAGGATAGCCTAAATCTTTATGTCCAAGATTGTGGCCCCAGTCTGCTCGAGGCTGTCTGATGCATGCAATTTGGCTCAGTTAAAATCGTTTGCGTGCTCCTATGGACATTCTCACCTTAGTCAAACTGTTTTGAATTATAAATACAATCTGCTATTGTTAAATTATAACACAAACAAACCAAAGAAAACAAAACAAAACAAAACGAAACAAAACGAAACAAAACAAAACAAAACAGTGGTTAATGTTAATTTGCACCTTCACGCGCGCCATGCTTCGCGCCGACATTCGGTTAATCGAATCTCAACAAACATCACAAAGTATGTTAATTAGAACAATTAGAACATGATTAGAACGGCTGTCAGCGTTACAAGCCGCACTATTTGTTTACATGTAAAATGAATACTTGCTAAAAGGTCTAATGTATTTCAAAACATTGGCAGTCTCCACCCAGATTTGGGATCAAAAACAAGATAGTTAAATCAATAATTTACTCGAAATCGAAACCCATCTGGCCATATGAGATCTATATTTCTCATCTAGAAATGGTCTTTGCCTAAAAATGACGAGAATCTGCCAAAAAGGACGTGTATTACAATACAATACTTGTTTGAACAAACATCACTGTCATCATGATTTGGTTAATCCACTTCGTATTAGGTTTACATTCGAATTTGCAATCCGGACACAACATACAGTGCCGCATAGTTTGAGGAGACATTTATTGCATTCTTGTCGCGCGAGCGAACCTCCATCGTAGTGCTTTAATTTGCATTTAAATAAGCATGAGTAATTGATATTTTTGTAGTTAACTTACATACTTGTTGATCTTGTAATGTATCTAATCCTCGAGATATGATAACGTACAAAATTCCAATTTATTCTCCCAGCTGTGTCCAAGTTGGTCATACAGTGTAGGTCTTCCTGCTCACCATGGAAATCTATTCAAGCGCACGTATTAATTTAATCCGCCTAATTCAAAATCTAGGTCAATGGGTGTGAGGAAATATTAAAAAGATAACGTATATCTTTGCATGCGGCGTTTCATGAAAATATCTTTTATTAATGCTGTGAAAACGCTTTATAATTAAGTTCTTTTTCGCCATACCAATTAAAGAAGTTAGAATGATTCCAAAGAATTCTAGAAAACCGTTTGGAACATTTTCTACGTTCTATCGACTGTTCTAATTAATCTTTAGAACACTTGCAAAGTTCCTTTATAGAATGTAGAACATTTTCAAAGAACGCTTCAAAGAATTAATGCGGGACAGTTTGGAACACTTTTGAACAGTATATTTAGAACATTTGGCTATGGAAATTCTATAAAGAATGTATATGAAAATATTTTTTTCAAAAGTTATTCAGATTTGTATATAAGATCATTTAGAGTTGTTTTTATGGAAGTTGTTTATGAGGTCCAACATGGTTTGTTTCAAAGCAAAACTCGTAAACTACGTCAAGTTCCGATCAAATTAACGCCGTATTGCATGGTCGAAGGTCACCTTTGAAGTATTTAATAACACTCTAAACATCACAAATAAATGCGACATTCAAATCACTCAGCAATTCGCAGTAATCCTAAAATATACACATCCTTTGTCTGCTCTATACTCCCATGCGTCTGCATAAAAGGGTACCGCAGTTGATCGCGCGGACACATCTAATATTTCAGTTATTTTCGGGCAAGGCGAGCACATTGCATTAGCCAAATATCTCGTTTTTTCAGCTTGTTGATTTTGGCGTCTTTTGATCTTAATCCAGTTTTTGCGCTAATAGCCAATTTAGTTTTATTTAAATACAAGTGATGTGTCAACATGGGTTTTAAATATTATTGAGGATTAGTGCAAAGCTATTGATATATAATTATGATATATGCAAGAAAAGGTATGACACTGCGTCAGTTTAGACCTCACTTCTATGACATGCAGTGAATTCATTTTTCCCACACTACAGGCTAAATGAACTTTATGGTAAATCGATAAACTCGACTTTCGGTTCATAATGAAATTAAGGTTTGTAGCTGTGTGACTAAAAACAAGACTATCGAGTATCACGTTTTTTTAAACCAACTTTTCATGTGCCTTTAGGCAATAATTAAAAGAGAGTGTTGTACCTTATTATGCTCCAAATATATTTCATTACATTATGACAGGTGTTTAAAATTTTGAGAAATCCATGGCTGAGTTATTTCAAATGAAAACAAGTCATTTTAACTAAACTGAGAACATCAAAAAGATAACTTTTACGCTGTATACTGCATGTATGTGGTGGATACGACAACTCGTCAAACATTGATTTCTTTTCAATCAGTTTCCGGTGATGGTGGTAATCAGAAAGTCAATGGTGTCTGATTGTATACTCGAACTATTTTTATTTCATTTTTTACCACTCGGTATGACGCAAAGTCATTGTTTATATGAAAATTTCGATGTTTGAACTACTGTATACGCTTAAGCGATACGCCAGGTGTACATTTTGACATGTTTTCAGAATTAATCGCTTCATATTCTCTTTAGAGTTTGCGGTTAATTCTCTCAACTATGCGACAAATCTCGTAATTATTCTGCGGCCACTAATGTGCTGGCTATTTTCTGCTAATTGCAGTAGATTAATTCATAAATCATAAGTAGTCACTTTAACATAATGCTGTCTTGTCATGTTGTGTCAGGAATAGAGCTCCATCCAAATTTTGTAATTCCTGCCATTCAACAATTATATCAAGTTATATCGGTTATCCACATAAATTTGATATCTTTTAACCTAATTATACATACTGGACATTATTTCCAGAGGAGTAGCACATAGGGGACAACTGTTCATACTACAATTTCCGTTGTTCAGTCTCTTTGTAACTGTCTAGACAAACCAGCAAGATACCTTGCATGAGAGCTCGACAAGCAAGCTGCAATCCTTTCATGCATGGTCCAGCTAGGTTATAGTTAACCTGACCGCCAATTAACCACCTGGGTAGCCTGCGACGAAGGAGAGAGGCCTGCACTGCAGATTGATACGAAGTATACACGATCTTGCCCTAAGTGTGTCCAAAAATCCTGGTACACTTTTCAAAATATTCAGTCCCAAAAATCCGCACAATCTCTTTAAAAAAAAACCCAAAATCTATCTAAAAATACCCTCAAAATTTGGCTGAAAATCTCGCAAAGAATTCCATAATCCCCGGGCATATTTGCAGGGATTTTGGAATCTCCAAGCCCCCCTCCAAAATCCTCGTATTTCTGACTAGTTGACATGGTCCCCAGGGCATTCGAGAAGTGAGCTGTTGCCTTAGATATATCATATACACATCTATGACTGTTTGCACATTTATCAGGCAAATCAAGTGGAAAGGGAGCACCTCATGTTTTCTGGAGTCATCATATGCGTTACAGAATTCTTCTGCAGCGACTGTGTTAAGTTAATGTTTATTACACTCATAAATACAAAATATAAATTCACACGTATATATACATCATATCATGTCTAAATTCATCCTCCAGTTTCCAAAAATGTTGCCGGCCTTTAAACGCTGGTTAATTCACACTAGCAATTTTGTCCGGCGGTGATTTTGTGTTTCTGACGGATGCAAATGAGTGAACTTGCACACAAAAGTATAGAGTTGATATCAGGGTTTATTTTAAGAAAAATTTAGAACTGCACATTTAGGGATGTTACGAAGGCAACGGGTGTTTGACAGGGGGGGGGGGGGTTCGAAGGCTTTTTTACCTGCATATAGGTGACAGAATAATGGTGTGGTTGGGTGGGAGAATTGGAGAAAGGCCAGACAAACTCGATTTTGTGTGCGGGAGCTAGGGGTGTTCCCCAAAACAATTTGAATCTAGAGGCTCCTAGTTCTGGGAATGATTTGTTTACCCAACCACTCACAAAAAACTGTTTCAAAACATGTAAGTGGGAATCATGGATATTCAATATATAACAACCTTAAATTTGCATTTGAGGCAGCAACGAATATTAGGTTCTCCCACTCTTTTGGGCAGCTTCGCTCGCCCCAATTTTACCTTCTTTTCCATTACGGCAGCACGTAATTGAAGAAGACGTTTATAATTTTGATGCTCAATTAATGACAACATTTCTGGAATTTTCTGGAACATCCACAAGGGTAACGAGTAAACGAGGAGATTGTTTTAATTAAGGCTATTTTTGTTAGTTTGGTGACTGCACATTGGTGTTTTAAGAACTGCACAAATGGGTTTAGAACTGCACATTATGTGTAGAACTGCACGTTAAAATAAACCCTGGTTGATATAGTCGCTTTTCATTCGATCACATTTGCGGGAGGAGAAAATCGCAGACAGAATTGCTAGTATGAACCAGGCTTAACACTGTCAACGTTTCTGTGATCACAGTAGGAATTTTGCATTGGTAAATTGCAAGTTTTTAAAAATTTGTAAGATATCTTTGCGGGAACTGACTCACTGACATTGTTTAACACTGAGTCCGTTTCCCCAAAGATTTCTTACAAATTATTCAAAACTTAGAATTTACCCATGCAAAATTCCTACAGTACTGTAATCACAGAAACTTTGATAGTGTAAACTAACATAAAGCCTTTCACTTCAACCTTGTCATGTCGACTGGAATGTAGCGTATTTTTTGTCTCCTGAACACCAGAGCGGACTGACGAATTTGACACAAAAGAAAGTTTTACGGTATTGTGACAGGCTGGTATTGTGAGATACGGTTGAAATAGCAAACAGGCTTTGTGTTCCTGGGTACGAATAAAGCAGCATATGTTTGCCATGCGATGCAATGCATTATAATATAAATATATAAATCTCCAATTTTTCTGTGCTCCAGTCATTGTGCTGTGCAACACCAGTGATCTAGCCCCGTGCTGACGTCATTCTTCTGCGAGACGTTTCTCGTGTCCAGTGATCAGTGCATGTTGGTCACATGACAGGAAAAGTGATATATTTGCCAGCGGAATAGCCCTGAGGGTCTGCGCACGCAGGAACCTCCCGCGTAGTGTCGCCATATGTCTTGCCAAAGCGGTAACGAGCACCTAGAATGAAAAAGAAAAACTCATGAATTATTTGGCCGATATTAGCCTTGATAGATGAAGCATGCAGCAATCTTGGACATAACTGGTTGAGACTTCCCTTCCCTCAAAATTACAAAATTCCCATACCCCTTATGATAAATTCCATGTTGAATCATTTTGCCCTTCTTAAGCCCCCGCTCCCCCAACTCAATGTTGAGCTTGTGTTATGGTAAATTACCAAAAGTTGCATTGGTGCTGTGATGTTACTCTGAGCCGTGTATATCCACACCGGGCAAGCTTGAAAAATATGCCTGGCCACGGTGGGAATCGAACCTACGACCTTTGGAATAATTTTCCAATACGTTTCTCCAGCGGCAAACAAACTTTAAAAGTATATGTTTAGTGCTTTATCTGTAAAATAATGCTAAAATGAAGAGATTTTAGATGGTACGCCAAAGAGAAAATAATGTCTGAACTTCAGTACGTTTTGCTTATATTGCTGTAAATATATGGCATCACGATTTAAAGCATCATTGATAATTGTGTTTTAATTGACGAATTTTTCCAACTATTGTATGTTTCTCAACCGGTAAATGCATTTTAAAACGTAGCTAACGGTATAAACTAGAGAATAAAACCGTAAAAATGCTTCTTAAATATATATCCTATTTTACTTACATGGTATATAGCCAGTGTACTTAGGTAACATTCCAGCTTTTTTATATAGCACTCCGAGACTTGGATTGCCTTTGGAACTTTTCAGTCCTGGAGGAACCGAGATATCGGGTCTAAAAATTTTAAAAATGATAAAAATAAGTATGAAGTAAAGGCCATGTTACACGGTGCAATTTTTCTTGCAACTTGCAATGCAATTCTACTCTTGAGAGATGTAAAATTGCCAATTACACTCCGCCGATGTTTTCCCAACATACCGAAAATTCTTCACTGATTTCACTAATTAACATCTCTCAAGAGTAGAATTGCAATGCAAGTTGCAAGAAAAATTGCACATATTTTAGCAGATTTCCGAAATACGTTGCTACGATCCTTCCATCAACACGTGCAGGGACAGAGTTTGTGTGTTCACCATTGAAACGGAAGCGTCCCTAGGAGAGCAGGTTTTAGCCTTCCTGATTGTAGCATAACTTGTCGTTGCTCAGGGACAGCTAATTAGCTGGATCCCTATTAGTAGATGGATTTCCGTCTAAGACGGGAAACTCCTCTGATGGATTTCCGTCTGATAAAATGGAACGAAAACCATTAAAACGGAGAAGACAGGATAGACTGGACCCTGACTACACAAGCAAAAACGCACAAGTTGTAACAAACTTGCAGCAGAGTTGTAGCAATGCTGTTCCAACAACTTGTCAACAGGATGTGTTCGCATTGCTTGTTCCCAGCTTGCTGACAAGTTGTCAACGGCTTGTTGACAACTTTTCTACAAGGTTGTTGAGCTCAACAGAATTGTTACAAGTTGTTCCAACAACTTGTTATCGTCCTGCAATTCAACAGTTTGTCAACAAGTTGTGAGTGACAACCTTGTAGCAACTTGATAAAATAACAGCATTGTGTAACATGGCAGTGTTATACCATGTTATTTAATATATTCAATACTATATTCAATACTATATATTCAGTATACTGTTATAATTATAAGAGGAAGACCTTAGGCAACCTTCCTCGCATGAATAAGCAAATATTTAGAGAGATTAAAGACCCACGGGAAACGCCTAGTACCACAAACCACGCAAACAGGACATAGTTTTGTGGTTGATAAACACTGCTAGAACTTGCTTTGACAAACATATTGCGTAGAGGAAATTAGTCATAGTTACAGATTTCTTCCTCTAAAATTTATTATAAAAGCTGAGCACAACCTGAGAGTCGAGAGAGAGCGGAGAGTGAAGTGAGAAGAGCCATTTAGGCTAAAATACTTCATAAGCCAACAAAGGCTGAAGTATATAATTAAAAGGCTAGATAATTAAGCCTCGTCAAGTAAACTGAAGAACATTGGAATATTGTGGAATAATTATTATTAAAGAAGACGGAATACAAAGTATAAAGAATAAAGATTCAAAGTTGTGCTCAGCTCAAACAAATAGAGAGATAAGTTGATATATTAAAATTACTATATTATTATAACATTATAGAGACGCTAATTCATATTGTTGAAAGTAAATAAAATATATAAAAGGTATAAGGTTTCATGCTATTTGTGTTACGGTAGCGTTAATATAATTTGAACCCGAAGCCTAAAGGTTGAAAATATACCTAATTGGAAAATATATTTGACGCATAAATAACGCACCATAACAATTGTTACAACTTGTTGACAAGCTTGCTACAAGCAAAAATAATCTTGCTGACAAGTTGTGAGATTCTTACGTGTGTAATTCAAAGCGTCGAACATGATTTGGTCACGAAAGTTAGGACCAAATGGGGGCGAGGCTTTATTGAGAGGCTCCATGACATCTTACCTAGAGAGGTCAATTCTCTGTGTCAATAAATGTTCCTGTCTTAATCTAGATCTTAGAGATTCTTCCAGTCCTTCCTCCGTCCATTTCTTGTACCTTTGACCCAAACCAAACTGCTCGATGTTTGGTATGAAACCATTGTAGCCTGATATGGGGGGTTCTGTGAAACTTTTCCTGTCAGCTAAAAAAAAAGTACGATATATATAAGGCATTTGAGGCCATGTAAGACAGAATCAGGTTAAAGAGTATTGCTTAGGCCGATGACACTACAGAACTTTTGCCTAAAACTGTCGCATGCAACCTGCTTACAACTTGAGTTGTACTGTGTAAATCAAGGACACAACTCCCCTACGACAACGTAGGCGCGTTGTGTGCTTGATGTACACAGTACAACTCAAGTTGTAAGCAGGTTGCATGCGACAGGCAAAAGTTGTGCAGTGTAAATCGGCCTTTAGTAAAATTTAGAACTTTATATTTTTCAGGTAGTTGTGTCATCTACACAAGGTTCGCAGACGATGGGCCTTCTTCGCTCGAAACACTGAAGTTCTTTTTGTATTTTGTAGGTATAGTATCTCTACAAAAGACTGCTGTTTGTACTCGTATCCCTACCTACGTGCACAGGAAAAGATTTTAAATTTCCATTAATCAAAGCTGGGTTAGCTTGACCCTATAGGTTAACCTAAAATCCAAAGCAAACTTCCTGACAGCTTGTTTATAAATTTGGAAAGATTTCTTCAGAGATCTTGTCTGGGATGATAGGAGTTTTCTTCTCTGAAGTTTTGAAATAAACAGACGTGCATGTAGAAATACACAAACTAAAACAGCAGGTTAAATTTAACCCAGGGTTAGAGCTAACACACCTTTGAACAACCTACAGTTACTATAGCTGGCACCACTGGCTGGCACCGACCGTTCCCTTCACAACTGGAAACGGAGGAATACATTATAACTCACATATTCGATAATTCTTGCTGTACATTGGATTGAGATCGGGATACACGGCTGGATCGTGGAAATCAGAACGTTTCCTCAAACTTGGTGCTGTGGCCGCCGTACGAGCAAGGTCCTGTTGATCTGAGCGTTGTTTCTGATTGGTGGGAAGAAATTTCTCTAGTGCCTCTTCTGTACTCTCTTTGTAGCGAGAGCCAAATATGAAACCGGGAGTATGGATTGGAACATAACCTGGAGAGATGGTTAATAAAGGGAGATGATTGTGATTGAAGATAAATCGGGGGGGGGGGGTAGGAGTGCGCAAATCCGCAAATCCGACAATTTTTTTATAAAATCCCCCCCCCCCGGTAGTTGTGTCTGTTGAAATGTTCAAATGTATATAAAAGACATTGAAGTTTTGTTTCGACCCAACGCACTTATTTTGACCATGAAAAACAATTTTTTATCTGTTTACACTTGGTGACTGCCTTTACATGGCGATCAATAGCAAGTCTAACAAAAAATCCAGAATCCGAGACAGGAATAAGATCTGAAATTCGTAGGAAATTACAAGGTCTGAAATTCGTAGGAAATTACAAGGTAGATCTATATAATACGAACCTGATTTTGGGGGGAAATCCGCTTTCCGCTACATTAATTTTGCAGGATCCACAAATCCGGAAAAAATCCAACAAGAACCGAAGTCCGCAATGAATTTCAATGTTCGTACAGCCGGCCCCAGATTATTTAAACACGTGAACTATTTCGTACCTCAGTGAATGCCGTACTACTATACGTTACCTGTATATCCGGGCAACACGTTTGCAGTTAGTTTATTATCTCCTGTGGCTGGAGGTAGTTGAAGTCTCGTTGATGTTGAGTTGACAGCTTTCAGTGGATTCAGCTTCTCATTTTTAGTATGCAGCTAAACATGACGGGAGAAAAAACAGCACTTGAATAACATATAAGAATATGTGTTCTCTATTACTATAAATTAGTCATTGAATGCACTGGAATCGCAGGGCCGCATGGAGGTTCGATTCCTGTCAGGGACATAAAGTTGCATTTTTCGCAGCTGTTCCTGGCAGGCCCGGAGCTACGGGGGGGGGGTGTGGGGGTGTGAGTAATTGTATTCAGTCGGCAGGACTGCTATTCAGTCGGTAGGACTGCTATTCAGTCGGTAGAACTGCTATCTGGGTTAAATATTTTTGGCGCAAAGGGCAAGAACGTGGTGGGAATTTTAGAAAAATTTTGAGGAAAAATGTAAAAATTTTGGAAAAATGTAAAAAAATGTTGAAAATTGGTCATGTGCGGAAAATTTTTGAATGTTCCGGAAAATTTTTGTACGTCCGGAAAATTTTTGTACGTCCGGAAAAATTTTCGGACGCCTAAAATGGTACACTGGCCGAAATGGGGGGGGGGGGAGGTCGACAAAAAATTTTTGATCCGGAAAATTTTTTTTTGAACCAGTTGGTTGAATTGACCTTATCACACCCCCCCCTGAAGAATTTCCTGAGGACCTTTCCATTATTCCCATAATGAAATTAGTAAAAATGAAAAATTTGGTTGCGAAATGTTGTAAAGCTTGGAAAATATAGCCTTGCAAAGTTTCCAAATTTTGTATTCTTTGTATATGAACTTTACATTGTTTCTGTTTGTCAGCCAGAGAAATATGACAACACTGCGCATATAATGAAAAGCATTGTTCTCTAAAACTTTGATAACTACCGGTTCCACGACAGTGCACTGAACGCTCTAGCTCCGAATGGTTAGAGCGTTACACCGTGCCGCGGCTGCTCGATTATGGTTCATGGTCTAAAATTTTTGCTCGAAAGTTCCATCTACTAAAAACCCATCTATATTATTACCGAATGACATGTATTGATATATTTATCTTACCCTTGTTAGCTTATCTGTATCAGCCCCGTACGTTCGACCACATTTGAACCTCAATCTTGGACAGTAACCGGTGTACCTTTTAATTGGAGGAATTGGAAAATTAAAATATTAATTAATTTAATATAATCGTTGCCATACATCGGTATAGGCTGAATATATATAAATCGCATCCGGTGATCTGGTCGTCAAACGGTATAGTGTACAGTACAGGACATATATTCTGTTATGAAATAACTAATGACAATTGAACTTTTTGGTGACAGAAGATATTAATGGTGTTTTTTATATATACATTACATTTACGACAAATCATTACGTATCATGTTATATGAAGGTAATAATTAGGTAATACCAATACATGACAGTCACATGCTACACATATTCATCTATACAACCCGCTATAGTTTACTCTACATACTAATAATTCAATTAATAACTTACCCCGGTAAATTACTTGACTTATACGGTCGTGTCACCTCCTCGAAACCCATGATGACTGTCAGTGACACTCGATAGCCGATACAAACTAAGTTTAACAGTTGTTCAAAACTCGTGCGTAACCTTGGAAACACGACGCCATCTAGCTAACCAAAGACAAACATCGCTTGTGTTTTATTGTCTTCAAACGAAATTTGCATTTTGAGTAACTATGGCAAAGCCGTGTGTAAACACTAGCAATGTAGTTAACACGTTTGGTGCAAATCACAGAGCTCGCGATCGTTTTTGTTCTTCTTTAATGAATTTTGCGTTTTTACTATATATATGTGAAACACTCGTTGTACGAATTTAGATAACGAATTTAGATAAGAGAGGTGAACCTGTGGAGTTTGAGTGTGTGTTTTTGAAGTATCTCGATTGCTTATCCAAACAAAGGCTCTCAGAAGATAATTGATTTAATATCACTTGATATGAGTGCAAATACAACAATACCTTGTATTTAATGAGTTGTCTTGTAAACGTGGTCTTTTATGTAGCTGAAGATATTCTACTCTTATTGCTGTCACAAGTTGTGCAAATATGTTTGTATAACTAAAGCTGAAATAGATTTAACATGATTTGTAATTGAATAATTTTAGGAAGATATGCTTTTGACAAGACTCTTCTGGCCACTTCTCTGCGAGCAGGTCTAAACTGAAGGTCCTGACTCTTTATAGTCTGGATTGAGTGGATTCCGACCCCCTTGGCCTTGAACTGACCCACAGCTGGAGGTCTTTATATACCTCCTCAAACAAGAGTTAGCATTCGCTTTGAAAATTTTCTATCTTGTACAACCTGGCTCCTTCAACTAATGAGTAATGAGTAATGAAGACAATGAAGAATTCCTTCTGAGAAGCAGCTAAAGCCTGTTTTCTATTTCAATCGTAACGTATCGTAGCATTTTCTTTTGTGTCAAAGTCATTAGTTCCACAGTTGCACTGAGAAAACAAAGAGATTCGCTATGTTTCTGTACAATCGAAACTCCATATTTCTTTGTTTTCTGAGCGGTGGCGTGGAGCTAAATACGGCTAATGACATCAGTAACACCAGCGCGCAGTAACGGGATGACACAAAAGAAAACGCTACGGTAGGCCTTTTGAGCCTTCCAAGGGGCTCTTCATAAGGTCTCGTTTACTATAGCTCTTATCACGGCTTTCATAACCCACCCGGCACACAACGTTGTTTCAACGTTGAAATTTGGTAGAAAAAAGGTTGCGACGTCGACAACCTAATATCCACGTTGCTCTGACGTTGTTTTACAAATATTGGTTCAACAGCAGCCAACAGACGTTGAATTAACGTTCATTCATGGTTAAATGTACGACGTCGATTTGTGAACCAATCTCAACGTTGTTTTAACGTGGATTCAACGTTGAATTATGGTTGACGAGATTGGCAACCTAATTTCAACGTAGTTTCAACGTCGAAACAGTAACGTCAATCCAATTTGCATAGTCAACCCTTTTTCAACGTCTATCCAACGTCTGGAAGGTCATTTCCAACGTTGATTCAACGTTGGATAAACGTCATTTTGCCCGCTGGGAAACATTTTAAAGTTGAATTAGGGACCGGTCTTTATTTATGATGGCATCGAAGATAAATGTTTTTCGTGGCAAAAATTTTGCTGACCCAACCATTAAAAAGTCAAAAATTTGATTATCCAACCTCAAGTGTCAATTAAAAATTAAATACCCACCCCTGGCCAAAAACTTTACAAAAGGATGTCATTCAGTTGTCACATATGTCCATTAACACTTCTGTGACATGAGTTTGATAACGTATTGTGAAATTTTCTGCAGTCTAAAGTTTAATATTGTTTGCACATGTACTTTCCTTGGAGATACCATGCATTTGTCTCCCAACAAATTGGAAAATGATCAAGATAGTGACTCTGATTGATTCACATATTGTATTGACATATGATTGACTACTGTTGACATTGCTTTTTAGCAGTGGCGTAACGTTATATCAGGGGGCCCCCGGTTCAAAATTTTCGAAGGCCCCCCTAGTAGAGATGCCAAAGGCACGAGTCGAGCGCCGTATATGCACGAGTTTTATATGCACGTATATCCAGGGCATGGTCATCCGGAAAATTTTTGAATCTAGACTCTCTGAAATGCCATTTCCTGGACTTTGGGGAGAGATTTTACACAATTCTGATGGTCATAAAACGACATTGTAACATATCAGAGGCCCTGGCCAATGTTTTTGCCCTATCGCCTAAGCCTGGGGGGCCCCATTTGGGTTGGGGGCCCCCGGGTTCACCCGGTCTGAGCCCATAGTAGTTACGCCACTGCTTTTTAGTCTCCAATATTTCAGTGAGTCATGCTTGGGGTCATGTTTTGGAAATGACAATAAATTTTTATTACCCAACCCTTGAGTTGTTTAGTTTTTCATTTACCCAACTCTTTACTTACTCAAAATTTAGTTTACCCAACCCTTTTCTCTTCGGTGCCACCACTAGATTCCAGCAACAGTATAAAATTTATTCAAACGATCTTTTACGGTCAGAAGAAAATTTTCGCGACACCGCCACGATTCGCAAATTTGAGTTCGGTGGTGGGTGTGAACGAAATCTGAGTTAGGCCTGTTTTATATACGTCGAATTTCGGTCGCGTCGAATGCAATTTCAAACAATAGATAATGAAGCTTACAGTAATGAGGTTTATCATCTCATTATCTATTGTCTTAATTCCATTCGACGCGACCGAAATTCGACGTATAAAACGGGCATATTTGTAGCGTCCCACAAGCACAATCATATATATGAGTTGTATATAAGTAAAGGGGCGAATTGTTTAGCCATGCGCATGACCTTCCGGTCTTTCACGACCATGACAGTTGCCGCTGCAGCTTGCTTGCGGGCGTTCAAGAAGATGGCAGAACAATCTCCACTAAATGGAAGTACGGACAGTATTATAAATGAAGGTACATTGCCATTAATGTATTAATTTGTTTCAGTAACTAAGTTTGCATTTCATGAGGTAGTCTTGTATGTTGAGCTGTAGGTCATTTGTTGTTTCGAAGCAGTTTTACAAACAGTTTTAATATAAAGCTCTCAACAAATGGGACAGTCAGAGCTGTCAACTGACTCAATTAGTCGTCGTAGACGGAAATGTGGACCTGTTGCCTTCTTATAATTTTAGCTTTAACATTAAATAAATTGCATCATACTTTTATGAAAATAATATAATTTTTCCATGGTTTTGTGGATGCTATTTTATTGATTTTAAAAGCGAAAAAGTTATTTTGTTTTCATGTAGTTATCGGCTTCCGGAAACTGAAAGTATTAATGATAATATACTCGAGAGCCCTTTGTTATTAATGACTTAATTTTATCAAAGTATTTTATATAATCAACACGGAAAATGTTTTATATTTGTTAAATATAACTGTATGATTTCGTAAATATGTCACCTGTATTGTAACAAGATAAGAGACTCTAAACCCAATATCTCAAATCATGAAAACTCTGCTCTCTAGTTAAAGCCATAAGTATATATAATAAAGATTATTATTAAGGATGTATTGTCAGAACTGATGAGTGATGGTAGGCAACTGGCACTCTGGCAGTTATATCAAAGTGAGAAGATGATATCAATTTCTTTCATTTTATACATTAGTCTTGTGTTGGGAGACAAATCAATAGATTAAGATTTCTATTTTATGTTTTACAACAATTGTGATATTACTTCCTTAATTTATTCAAACCCACCCTGTCAACTTTCCCTGTGGGAGGAAACCGGAGCAGCTGGAGGAAACCCTTGACTTTTGGCAGAGACCGACTCTTTTCGCATGAGTTCGGCGAGAACCTAACAAACAATCTCGGAGGTGAAAGGCACTTGCTCTGAAAACTGTGCCATCGAGGGAGATGTACATGTAGTTCATTTGCCTGCGCCTGTATTCCCGTAAAGTGCTGACAGTTGGCACAGTTCTGATGTTGACCAAAATCTCTAATGCTTACTGGAACCATCTATGATTGCAACCACCACACATTGCTTAATTAGTAATAGTTTTTCTAATTGCTTCCGGTTTTTTATAGATATGACTGTGAGATCTGGCAGTTGTCAATTGAAAACTGCTCTGAATGTTGTGTTGATATCAGGATTTATAATTGTTGGCTGTGTGGTGTTGGGTATACTCCTTGTAGTCCGTCCTGGCATTGAGACCAATCCTGAAGTAAGGAGATAAATATTAGAAAATTGAACCCATTGAGCGCCAGCGCTTGCCACTTGACAAGTAAAATTGTCCAGTGTAGGAAAGAGTAATATAATAAAGAGTGGCGCATTAGGGTGCAATGTGTGACCAATTAAATTACGTTGGGCCAAGGGGGGGGGGATACTTTGCCCCAGCTCAAAAGGGGCCCCCAATGTCCTTAAAATATCTTGAATGATATAAGATTAGTTAGTTGAGAATATAAATCCTAGCTGTTTTAGTGTCGGATAGTACTAATAATCTGTAATATATTGTAAAACATCGCTTCTCCCCTTTCTACAATTACTGCATGATATCATATGGGTCACCTTGGAAAGTTTAGCCTCTGTGCCATCTCTGCAGCCCTGGGATAGGATCTTGCTAAGTTCTTCAGATTACGTCCTCTATAAAACAAATCCCAAGCTGGATCCCTAGCCAGAATCCTACAAACTATGTATAATTTCTTAGAAACTTTCTGACTTTTTCTGTTGTAGTATGGTGTAGTGTTTGATGCAGGTTCGACACATACATCTGTCTTTGTTTATCAGTGGCCTGGAAATGAGAGATTGAGAGGAACTGCTGTTCCAGTTAATGAGATTTATCATGCAACACAAGATCCAGGTGAAGATATAAACTTAATGTTTTTGAGGTGGTCCTGGCATAAGCCATTGACAAGGATGCCAGAACAATAAAAAAGCAAGGGGGGCAAACACACACCAAAGGGCACCTCTACAGACTCCGGTGAAGATATAAACCTACAATTGTGTGTTGACTTGCCAATATATGAAAGCAAACGCACTTAATCAGGTCACACTCAAGATCATACCTCATGATTTTGCCCACTGAAAGCATCACTGGAAATGTGATTTATCAGGTAGTATTTCATAACATCATTTCTGCCCCCCCCCCTTGCCCCTCCTAGCAAAAGGCAAGAGGGGCAGCTGCCCCCAGTTCCGGCGTCCCTAGCCATTGAGATGCACATATTTGCTACAGTATCTCTTGTGTATGCAGCAGACCTAGATCTACTCACAGGAAAGTCACTGTGTACACAACAATTATGGTGTTATTCTTTTGATTTCCTTCTTATAATGTTTCTCTTCAGGAATATCGTCATTTGGTAATGACACAAAAGCCGCTGGTGCATCACTGGAGATTCTGATAAAAAATGCCACAAGAAATGTTCCACAAGACAAGAAGTCTACGACCCCTGTTTATCTTGGAGCAACGGCAGGAATGAGAATGGTGCGGTAAGTTTAAGTTAACACTATCCAGGTTTGAGGCTTTTAGCCAAGCTGTCAAAACTGGCCGTTTTTCCTGTAGTGAAGTGAACTCAACAATCTCAGATGACATTATGTCTTCAATACGGAATGTTTTGGGAAAGTCAGGTTTTCAGTTTACTGCCAACAATACAAGAATTATCACTGGAGAAGAAGAAGGGTCTTGTGGTTGGATCACTGTGAATTATTTAAAGAAAGTTCTACAGGAAAAAGACAAAGTAATTTCAATGAATTTCTTTTGTATTATTATAACATTGTATGCGGTTGAAATTATTTTTGAAGGTGTGATTGAAGACAATTTTAACCCCAGATTTATGATGGTGCGGTTGCTAATCGTTTTACGTGCACACGAAAGCAACATGTAAATAGTTCAAGTTTTCACCCATGCAGTACGTGTTTAATAGCATAAAATGAATCATAACTATATCCTTATGAAACTTGTATTTTTCTTGAAAAGGAAGACATCAAGCAAAGTTCAGGAGCTTTAGATTTAGGTGGTGCATCAACACAGATAACATTTGTTCCTCGAAATGCTTCCCTCGCCACACGACATTTTAGACTGTATGGTAAGGACTATCCAGTTTATACGAAGACGTATCTGTGTTATGGACTAACTGAAATTTATAGAAGATTCCTCGCACAACTAGCCAAGGTAAAGGCCGATTTACACTGCACAACGTTTGCCTAAAACAGTCACATGCAACCTGCTTACAATCCTGGCACAAATTTCGTGGACACTTAGATGTAAACTAAAGTATTAGATCAGTGGTTCACATACACATCTTGGCGTTTTGTCTCCTCCCTACAATGTTGGTTTTGACATCGCATTTCACAAAGCTTTCACCTAACCAATTTGAACATTATACGGGGTTTAGGAAGAATTTAGAGATTGCTATTTTTGAACGTATTGTATGTATTGGGCAAGGCAGGTATCGACAATAATTTTTGCCAGGATCGTAAAGTTGTACTGTGTAAATCAAGCACGCAACTCGCACATCACGTTGTCGTAGGCGACATTTTAAACTTTAATCTGGTTTTGGCATTTGTTTTTCAGTTCAGATATTTCATTTTGTTCGAAGTTTTTGATTCCTTTAATAAACACTCGTATTGACTAGCACAACTTTCTTTTATCCAATTAGAATGCAGACTACTCGGCTACGATATCCAATCCCTGTGCTCGAAAAGGAAGCAGTTTTAACCAATCAGCGTCGATTATTTGGCTTGCGCCATGTAGCTGTCAACCATCACCAAAACCTACTCGTGCCCAGTTCACTTTCGTTGGTTCGAGTAACGATTCAGAGTGCACTGAAAATATTATGAAGCTTTTTGATTTCCGTTCTACGTGTCGTGATGCAGATGATCTTTTTTCTAATGATACTCAACCCCCAGTTACAGGCAGTTTTGTGGTAAGTTTTCTGAGTGGTGGCTTGATTTATACAAGTTCAAAGTTAATTTATTTCACACTATTGATCGAGTTTCAGATTAAGTGGGGCGTATTACAGACAATTAGAAAATGTGGACTTTAAGGTTTATTCACAAGCTGTATCCACGTTTGTAATTCACTGTAATTAGAGAGTTTAAGTTTCGCGTTATAGTTATACGGCAAACGGCAAACGCCAGGCAAAGAAAAATTTTACGGTATCAGGCAATAAAAAGTAAATAAACTTGCCGTTTTAAAACTGAAATACATAATTCTTTCGACGCAAGAAAGAAAATATGAAACGAAAACGTTCAACGAAAATTTTGCCAAGAAAGTTCGAATCTGCCGTTTGCCGTTCCCGGAAACGTGAAGCTCAGTCAAACTCCCTATTATTCAGCAACGGCAGCCATCATCCTCGCGTGGCTATAAATGCGTATACGCAACATGATGTTGTGTCTAAAGGTGTTACGCAAAATGGTGGAAGGGGGTCTAAAATGATATTGTCAATGCAATGTGCATATACTGTATTTACATGTACATATGTACAGTATATAAATAACAAATCTGGATTGTAGAATAGTGGATCTATACTTTGCCATCCTTGTTTTGGGGGATGAAGCGCCGCGTTTATACACAGATAAATGATGAGACGAATTTTTAACTTCTTTTGCCCAACTTCGTCCAGACGGATCATCCGACGTCTCTGGTATAAATTAAGCCATGTTTATTTTCTGAAATACATTGCCTTTGATAATTGTCACTCTGTTTCGAGGACAACATAACGTAATGTGTATAGATTTTGAAAACAATTTGGTCATTTGATTTTTTAATACAGGCATTTTCAGCCTATTATCATATTGCGAATAACTTGAATCTATCCACGACACCGACAATGGAAGAGTTTCGAAATGCATATCTCACTTACTGCAGCAAGAAAGGAGCTGAGGTAAAGTTAATAGTTATTTGTCGTCGATCGCACAGCTGTGATTGCCCAACAGGGGGTGTTAAACTGCTACAGGAAATTCGTTTGAATGAAGATTTGAAGGAAACCTTCATGTCCCACTATGGGCGCAACAACGTATGGTTGACAGACATTATTTCTTGAATTTAGAACCATGATCAGCTAGAACACATATGTTTATGCACATGCAGATTTAGCACAAAAATACTCCGTTGGTCTGCAGGAAATTTTTGTTTCCAGGTTGTGCTCCCAGGAAGAAAATTGTTTTTTCCTGTCCTGTTGCCCAATATGAATGGTACACGTGCTCGGGCCCAGAGAAAAACCTTCAAAGTAGAGGGAGTTTTTAAGCTCAGGGAAGTTACCCAACCTAAGTAAATACCCTATACCCCTACCTTTGCAGACTTAACTCGGTGGTAAGGGGTAGTGTGTAAACCACTTGCATTTGGTTCGTAAATTACTTATTTATCAATAGAGACACCATCCGTTGCGGACACTTTACAAAAAATTGGGGGGGGGGGTTGCTACCGTATTACCATTTGTTGCTGTAAATCTTGTTTCTGTACATTTTTGCCTTAAATTTCATGCAATGTATACTTTAATTTATAGCCTACAAAATTATTGTTACAGCTTTGTTTCATATACAGTTATTCAGCTGTTTAATGTTGTCTTTCGGAAATTATTGTTGGGGGGGGCTCATTGTGGTCTATACAGAACGTTTCATGAGGAAAGTTTCATGAGGAACGTTTAAGAAGGCAGAGTCTCTCTTCCTCTACTCTTAATGTTTTACAGTGTTTAACATAACATATATACAGTTTTTAACACAACTGCTTCTATTATTAATTTCTAATGTGCTGTAGGTTAAACAATCGCATACTTTTGTGCGAAGAATTCCGACCTGTTTTGCTGGACACTACATCTATGCCTTGCTAACACACGGCTTTGGATTTCACAACAATACGTGGAAAATCTCTTTTGAAAAGACTGTAAGTGTCATTACTTCTTGTTGAAATATCTTATGCGTATTAAGTATGTGCAAACTGAACTACGAGGCCAAGTCAGTGATATTTTTCTAGTTCGTTCGTTTATACACATAAGATGATAAGATAACATGTTAGCGAACGACCTAGACGCAGTTCCAAACTATCAAGTACTCGAACGGAACCTACTTTAACTCCTAGCTCACTTGGTCTCGCTCAACCCAGTGTGGAAGAGGCACGAGTGAGCTCCATAATATATCTATGGAACAGCTTACCTAGCAATATAAGACAAGCGGAATCTCTTACGTATACTGAATTTCGACAATTGTTGAAACATATTCAATATAGACACGGCATTCATGGAAAACAGGTATATAAATATTAGTGTAACATAGGCTTCAAAAAGTTTTAAGCTTATTAATGTAGATAACTCTTTTTGGAAACCTGATGAAGCTACCGTGCTTAAATAAAGATTTGACTGACTGAGCGAGAACTCGAATCCAAAAAGTGCAGCCAAGATGGCGGGAATTGAAGAGCTTTTGGAATGTCAGTTCCAGTTACTTTATCAGTGTTTTTGTCCTGCCTCCTCCGCAGGCAGGACAAAAACAATAAAGGAATGGACCTTTCCCCTTATAACTAAAATTTCGATCTGGACAAAAATTTCAACACAGCTTGAAATAGCATCACAAAATTAGTAATATTTCAAAGTTTTGTTGCAAAAAATGTAAAATGCGGATAACATAGCCTTGCGAAGTTTGCCGTTTTTCAGTCATTTTGTATTACAAACGGGAAATTGACATCCGATTCGGGTGTTGGGGCTGCAATTTCCCGTTTGTAATGCAAAATGACTGAAAATTGCAAACTTCGCAAGGCTCTATTTTCCTCATTTTACAACATTTCGCAACGAAACTTTGGAATATTACTAATTTTGTGATGCTCTTTCAAACTGTGATGAAATATTTGTCTAGACTTGCCTAGATCAAAATTTTAGTTATAAGGGGAAAGGTCAATTAGCTGGGGGAATAGTATAAAAACTGTTTACGACGTTCATTGGACGTCAATTTCCGCCATCTTGGCTTCACTTTTCTCATAGGCAGAATGACTGAAATTCTTGCTCCAGATATATATATAGAGCTCACTGGGAGGCACTCGGAGTAACGACAAAAACCGAAGGCAAAGTTCTAAAACCTAGTTGCATCTTGTTGTATTATTAGGTGGACAAGAAATCTCTTGGTTGGGCCCTAGGCTATATGATTAATGCCACGAACATGATTCCATTAAACGACTCAAAACACACCAGAATTAAAGATGTATATCTCATACCAGCGGTCGTAGTTTGTGGTATCTGTATATTGATTGGTCTAATCCTATGTTTGAAATTTTCTCGGAAGAAAGGTCTATTTAAGGCTTCCAGTAAACCTAAATATTCTCCGATATAAATGTGGTTGGCAGTTGGACACAGAGTTCAAGTTTTGTATGGATTAGACCGTATGCATAATGACGTCACAAAGCTCGATGCCCGCGAGGAATGCTGGTCTTAGTAGTCATCGCCTGTGGTCATCGCTCGGGAAAATTAAGCAATTCAAAATGGCCACTATCGAAATTTTCCCGGGCGATGACCACTGAGCTATACTATATTACTGGAGGACTGCTATTATACAGCTATTATACAGCTATTATTACCAGTTATTATATAGCTCAGTGGCGATGACTACTAAGACCAGCATTCTTCGCGGGCATCAAGCCTTGTGACGTCATTATGAAAAATAATATATTAGATATTTATTAAAGAGCGAGGCAACACAGCACTAATTTATTGGGGCTAATTTTTAATATATGCTAGCTTTCGAGGAATCATTCGAAAAGTCGAAAGCTAGAATATATTAAAAATGTTCCTTTTCGGAGTTACCGTTTTGTATTTTGTAAAAATACTATAAGCGGTCAGGTTCCCGTAACAATCAAAATCCCGTCTAATTTTGAGATCAATTAAATTATCCAGGAAAATTTGATGTTAATGCCAAATCAGTAAAACTGATTGTGAAATTGTATTCATAGAATAAATTATTTTATATAGAAATTGTAATGTAATTAATTTTTTCTACTTAAACCATGATTCAATGATCGAATGTCTCTTTGTCCAGCAAATTGTCAGGCATGCGCATAATTTGTGAATGCGCACGTTCACTACTCCAATCACTGACTCCAATGCGTTCTCCAATTTAAATACCCGAATGCCTTACATTTTCAAGTACACAGCTGGCCTGCATGGCGAATGTTAAAATTTTAGTAAAATCGGGAATAAACACCTGGGGCCGCTTGTTCAAAGCTGGGTTAACACTAACCCTGCTTTGAACAACCGGAGGAGAGAGGCAAGAAGTTACAAACGAAATATGGGGTGGAGGAGGGGGGTGGGCGATCTTGAAGGAGGCTATCCGCCTCTCTTCTGCTATTTTAATATTAACCTTGCACATTCGTTATCGGGGAACTAATATAAACAGTGGTAAAAATTAAATTATTAGCTAAAAGTATTCCCAACTGATTTAACAGAGTGATCTCTTCATTTGTGTTTCTTATTGCACTAAGGGGCGGACCATTAGAAATCCCGGGAGGGGGGGCATAAAATTTTTGCGGCACGAATTTTTTTTCAGTCTCATGTGTCTGCAGGAATTTTTTTTAATGCACTTAACCTCTGCACGAACTTTTTTCAAGACTATTTGTACTTTGCTCATGGCGACCTCCCCCCCCCCCGTCGCCAAAAAAATTTCGGTCAGTGTACCATTTTAGGGGTCAAAAATTTTTCCGGACATACCACATACCAAAAGTTACCACAAAATTGACAGAATTTGTCAATTTTTTTTTTTAATAAACTAAAATTGCCCGACTGTTCAGCGAATATTGCCCGACTGCCAACTGCCCGGTACGCCCATGACTTTGCTGTTTGCTTGCACGAATTTTTTTTCTCTGACGTAATGGCTGCATGAATTTTTTTTCCAGGCATTTTTCTTTGCACGAATTTTTTTTTGGGAATTTTCACCCCCCCTCCCGGGATTTCTAATGGTCCGCCCCTAATATGTCTGTAGGTTTATAGTTTTGAAAAACTTGAGAAACAATTATATTAATGTAAGAAATGTCTCGCCACAGAGTCTAGACTTGCTGTCTCTGTCGCATTCGGGAGGACCCTATAAATAATTATTAATAACAGGAAAATATATAGTTATAGGGGTAACATTAATTTTTCTTGTTTAAAGGCTTTGTTTACCTAAAATATAGTGACCAGAGAGGTATTACATAATTAAATTATTAAAACATCTTGTATAGAGATGTCATAAAACATCTTGTATAGAGACGTCATATTAATTATTAACCGCTATAAATAGAACAGCCAATCACGGCGTTCCATAAATTTATATATTTCAAAACTTGCAAGCCAAGGAGAGCTGCTGTTTTTTTCGCAAACTTTTATTGCAAACTTTTATGCTACATATCTCTAAATTTGGTTATGTTTAAGTTATAAAAACGTTTTTAAATCTGAGCATAGTAATTTGTGGTATTCGTACGGATTGGGAGTCGTTTTTCTTCGCAGATAATTTTTTAAAGATTTGTTTGTCATATTTGAACATTTTCACATTTTTTTTTGTCAAGGTAATTCAAGGTAAGCTTTATATATTAGTTTGTTATAGTTCTGTTGGTTAGCTATACCTGGAAAATATTAACCAATTTTGGAGCATAAAATCTTCAGTTAATAGCATTTTGCTCTGAAAATACGCTTGTGTACAAGTCAGCTTGCCTAGACAGTCTGGACAATTAATTTTGCATTCTTGTTGCAGACAAACAGCATGTTTACAAGTTAATACTGCTGTATTCAACTACAGTAAATAGAACAGTCGAAAACTTTACAGCAAGCTATTTAGATGAATTTTTTGTGTTGACTTTTCATATTTTTCATTGATATCGCAAAAGGTACGGTATTTGTTTTTTGAAAAAAACAACGAAATATTCTTTCCACGGCAATTTTGACTTCGCTTTAGAATTTTCGACAAAAATTTTGTACATTCATTTTTGAGAAATTCGTATCTTCATAGACTTGCCACTTGGGTATCACGCTATTTAACCGTAATTCTACGTTTCGAACACACTTGTTTTACCGGCTAACCTTAAATTTTCAGGCGAAATTTTTTAGCCGATTTACCGGGTACAACTCGAGGACCTTTTGTAATGTTTTTGTTCTAATCTATTTTGGTGCCTCGTTACTTATATCTTACGTTTAAATGTGTTTTGTGGTGGTTTCATGATGGTGTTGAAGATGGGGCTGGTGATGATGGTAGTGATGCATGGTAATAGTGGTAAAAGTGGTGGGTTGTGATGTGCTGGTGACAGTGAGAATTGTGATGATGATGGTGATGATGGTGGTGGTGATGGTAGTGATGGTGATGGCAATTATAGTGGTGGTAGTGGTGGTGATGATGATGGTGGTAGTTGTGACGGTGGTGGTGGTGGAATGTTGATGGTGATGGTGGAATATTGATGGTGACGGTGGAATATTGATGGTGACGGTGGAATATTGGTGGCTGTGATGATGGTGGTGGCTATGGTGGTGGTGATAATGATGGAATCAGTTGTAATGGTGGTGGTGGTGATGGTGGTGGTTATATTGGTGGTGATAATGGTGGAATACTTGTGATGGTGGTGATAATGATTCTGTTCATGAGTGATGGTACTAAAAATAATAATGATTGTGCTAATCATGATAGTGATGGTATGCTAATTCCTTGATGATGGTAAGTATGCTGCTGGTGCTACTGGCAGTAATAAAGGTAATCGTAGAATTGATAACCATGAAAATTATGGTAGTCTTGGTCTTGGTATTAACAATGATGTTGTGCTGGTACTGATAGTAGTCATATTGTTTTTTTGATAACAGTAAGCACTCCACTACAATTAGCTACAAATACCTTTATTTAACCATTTCAATAGGGCTGACATGATTTCACAAGGAAGATCACCTATTCTAGAAAAACTTCTTTCCAATGCCAATGGAAATTATCCAGGCACCACTGCTGCAACTAACTGTGACCAGAATCCTGAAGTAACGAGCGACACATCAGAATTTTCATACCAGTTTCCAGGAATGAACGTTGAAAATTCATATTCCAACGGGATAAACCAACAAACTTTCGCTTGTGAAACAATTTCTACTCGAAGTCAGGTGGTCCCATATTGTATAGATCTTGCCACGGATAATCTTACTCAAGCCTCGGATATTTGGTCACAAAGTAGCATCGGTCAAAACGGTATGCATTATTTCAACCCTAGTGTCTTACGCTGTACCGAAGACGTTGATTTTCATCCTGTTTCGTCTTTACCAGCAGAGGAAAACGTCGCTGGTGTGCCAAATTTTCTTTCAAGAGTCCAAGAACCAAGTCCATTTACAATGGTACCTCAGCAAGTTCTAACTGATGTCCACAGTTCCGTTGATACCAACTTACAAATAGAGAATAACACTAGCTGGGAAAACCCGTCAGATACAACAAGGCAACAATTTTACAATCCAACATCAAATCGGCTTCGACATTTCACATTACCGTTGAATCATCTTCCTTACCAACAAGATAACGTTTATCCTGATTTTTCTTTTAATCCAACAAACCAGCTTTATCATGACACTGTTCCTTATTCAAATCAAACAGAATCGAGCAATACAATTTCAACACCCTATCTCGGTCACAATTCAACTCCAACGCACAGCCCTGGTTATTACAACCAACCACAAATGCAAGATTCTGATGAAATACCAAATCAAAGCTTGCCAAATTTTTATCAGTTCAATTTCGTGCAGCAAACTATTTTCAATCAGTACCTACTAGAAAGCCATGCCAACTCACAAATGTATAACGAAATCCAACATGCCAGGCAGTGTCAAACATCAAATTATTTGTACGCAAGCAATGACAGTAACCTTCGCCAACTTTCCGATATCTGTGTGAATACCTGTGCGAGGATACCACCATGGACCATTCTCAATAGCGATACAACTTCGAGAAACGACGAACCCTCAGAAAATTCTACGTACACCAGTATCTCTGGAACTAAACCCTTATCTCATCAACCGTTAATTACCGTCAAAGAACCATGTACAAAAAGCTCCTGTATTCATGAAAAAGACAATGCAACATTTGTTCCAAAATTTCGTGAAAAGTTGGAATTGGTTCAAACAACAAAAACGGAAGAAAAGCCGTTGTGTTTGGTTAAAGAGGCAAGCCTTTCAGAAAAAGTAAAAGCGCAAGTCGATAAGTTTATGAAGTCACCAAAAAAAGAACGAAGAAAATGGAATTGCCCTGTATGTGGACGAACGCTGACAAGGGCGTCGACCTTAAAGGTCCACTTACGTCAACATTCAGGAGACCGTCCCTTTAAATGTCCTTCGTGTCCGAAATCGTTTGCTCAGCCAAGTTTACTTAACTCCCATCACCGCATGCACAGCGGGGAGAGGCCCTTTTCGTGCTCACTTTGTCATAAAACGTTCGCTCACTTGAGCGCGCTTAGAATACACGCGCGCACGCATACAGGTGAACGTCCTCATGAGTGCCCAGTGCCTAACTGTGGCATGGCGTTCTCGGACAGTTCGACCTTATCGAAACACGCCCGCGTTCACAGTGGTGAGAAACCGTATCTCTGTGATATTTGTAATCGGCGATTTACGCAATCTGGAAACATGAATAAACACAGAAGGAGCGTACATAAAGCCCTCACGAATGCTGCGAAAACGGTAAAAATCCCAGAAAATACCAAGATGTTGTCGGAAAACTTAGGGAATGATGAAAACACGACACCTACTATGAATAAGGTTTGAACTAGGTAAGGTTCAGTTATAAAATGTCGAAATCAGGACGTAGCGACTAGCGAATATTTTGTCGTTGGGGAGGGGGGGGGGGGAGGGTGTAAGGGTTCAAATTACCTGATGGATGCGGGCGTTATTCAATCAATAGACGATTCCCCTTATTACGTTTTCGTAGCGCTTTGAATTGTGGTTATAGTGGTATCACTGACATTCAAGATGGCTTATTTTTTGTCCTGACCCGTGCAAGAACTTTAAAAAAAAGCTAGGGTCAGGTGCGTGATAGCCAACAGCAAAATATTCGCGAAAACATTCAATATTTTCATTTGAGGCCGCTATCTTTATCAGGGATACCACTATAACCACAATGCAAAGCGCTACGAAAACGTAATAAGGGGAATTGTCTATTTACAGCTATTCTGTTCTTCTCTTATTAGGATATATCAAGAAGATCTGAAGGTGTAACCGGTTCAGATAATGTGGACAAAGTCCAAAGAGCTAACGGAAGTCCAGCTTATGTGCAAATATATAACAAAGAACAGCTAAGTAGTAGTATTTTGATCAGTTACGTAATTGATCAGTTACGTAATTGATCAGTTACGTAATGGACAGTTACGTAATTGACAGTTACCGGTAATAGACCTTTCCCCTTATGAGTGAAATTTTGATCTAGATATGTCTGGACAAAAATTTCATCACAGCTTGAAAGAGCATCACAAAATTAGTAATATTCCGAAGTTTCGTTGCAAAATGTTGTAAAATGCGGATAATATAGCCTTGCGAAGTTTGCAATTTTCAGTCATTTTGCATTACAAACGGGAAATTGATAATCAGAATTATTCTGATTATCAATTTCCCGTTTGTAATGTAAAATGACTGAAAAACGGCAAACTTCGCAAGGTTTTTTATCCGCATTTTACAACATTTCGCAACGAAACTTCGGAATATTACTAATTTTGTGATGCTCTTTCAAGCTGTGATGAAAGTTTTGTCCAGACTTGTCTAGATCATAATTTCACTCAAAAGGGGAAAGGTCTATTAGGTTTCAATAGATATAAATTCAGTATAGTCGAACGACCGTTCGTCTGTGCCAGCGTAGGTAGTGACAGTAGAGAGGTTAAGATACCCCGCGGTTGAGGTTTAGTACGGGCCACTGTCTCTGTAGGCAAAGCAACCGAGGTCTTAGTAAAATATATTTCTTAAAAAATTGTTGAAATTTTACATTCTCCCTCCTTATTTGACAGTTTATTTGACGCGTCACTTGTTTATATCCACCAAATGTCGCGGCTTCACTCGAACGCTTAAGGTGGTCTGGGACAATATTTTTGTGAAAAAGTCAAATTTTCGAAACAACCATATTATACATCATTTTTCATAGTTTCCCCGGGTTATTCGGGGAATAACTTGTAACTTAAGAAATCCAAGATACTCCGGCGTGAGAAAACCGATCAGAGAATGGTCACTTTCGCTGTTGAGGTTCGCCATAAATTGTTGAAAACTTTGACGAGCATATGTGCATTATTTGGGTAAGATGTTGAAAATTTTTACTATTTAAACGGCCCACAAATAGTAAACAGAATTGAATGCACCCGTCAGTATGACCCGTACCCGTTTGTCTTTACGCGTAGACCATGGTTTACCGCAGGGAAATGGGTAGAAAGTACCGGTAAAAATGCTGAAATCAGCAAAAATCGGCAAACGAAATGGCGATATTCGTACTCGTAAACCGGAACCGGGGTATCTTTAACCATACCTCTTTAATAACGCCAGAAAGCTGCGGATAATGGACCATTCCCCAATTAACCAATATTTTGATCTCAACAAGTCTAGATAAAATTCCATCATAGCATGAAAGAGCATCACAAAATTAGTAATATTCCAAAGTTTCGTTGCGAAATGTTGTAAAATGCGGATAATATAGCCTTGCGAAATTTGCAATTTTCAGTCATTTTAGATTACAAACGGGAAATGGTTACCACTTTTCCAAAATTTTGATCTTAACTAGCCTAAACAAAAATTTCATCACAGCTTGAAAGAGCATCACGAAATTACTAATATTCCAAAGTTTTGTTGCGAAATGTTGTAAAATGCGGATAATATGGCCTTGTGAAGTTTGCAATTTTCAGTCATTTTAGATTACAAATGGGAAATGGTTTTAATACCACTTCTGTTCGTAATCTAAAATGACTGAAAATTAAAAACTTCGCAAAGCTATATTATCCGCATTTTACAACATTTTGCAACGAAACTTTGGAATATTACTAATTTTATGATGCTCTTTCAAGCTGTGATGAAATTTTTGTCTAGACTTGTTCAGTTCAAAATTTTGGTTAATTGGGGAACTACAACGGTCCATTGAGAGGATTCAACTACCTGAAAATAGTGAAAAATACAAGTAAAACTTCGACGTTTTGAGCAAAGATCCTTCGTAGGATTCACTAAGGCCATAAAAAATATGTGGGTTTCCTATTTCTTTATATTGTAAAAACTTAGGTAGGGTAGGTCGGTTTTAACTTTTTTAAAACTTTTTTTAATACTAGTTTCCTAACAAGCGGACGCCATTTTGTTTAGTCAGTGCTTCCACATCCAAAGATAGATTTCCCGAATATTGCCTCAAATTTCCATTTGCCTCAACTGTTTTTCTCTAAGTGGAAACACTTACAAGCATGATCCAACTAAAAGTTTAGGGTCGGGATTTCGGCGTCGAAAAGCTAGGTAGGGTCGGGAAACCGGAAACCCACAAATTTGTTTTTGGCCTAACTTCTCGAAACGTCGAAGTTTTAGTATTTTCAGGTAGTTGAATCCCTTTCAATCCGGCGCAGCTTCATAAATTTATAGGTACATGGAGTGAAGCATCTGAATGGGAGCTTTGTCTTTGAGTTTGCCAGTTGTCAGCCAATAAAGGGAAAATACCAAATACATGTTAAATATAGGTGTAACCCCATTTGGATCCAGTTAAAGTAGGTATAGCTTTTTAATTAGGTATAAGGTTCAAATATGTTGAGTTTTTTATGCAATACTGAAACTGCATGTAGCCAGTCAATGTAGGTTTTAAGATATTAATTTGGTTCAGTAAAATGAAGAACAATTATCCATTTTATACGACGTTAAACTAAAAGCAATAAATAAGATAATTTTATAAAATTATGTCATAGTCGTTGCATCATGATATTTGTCCTAACCGTCAGGTTGCGTCCGAAGATGATCCACATAACCTGAAGGACTGTCAGTTACCTAAAACTAAAAGCTTGACTAAATTAAAAGTCCAGTGAAGAAAAGTTTAGTGCACTAATAAATAAAGAGTTACAATCATTGAGCATAACATAAAAGGCAATTCTTGCTGAGAACTTGGATATTGCGAGCGAAGTGTCTATAACCGTCGATCATAGAGAGCGATCTCATGTTCAAAAGCAGAGATAAAAAGTATTAACAGTAACTGAATCAGTGGCATCATTTCACTTTTCTGACATTTTTCTTTCTTGTTGAATTATTTCTGAAACGATCGGTGAAATAAGATGCGGGGCAAATTCTCAATTTTACCGTGAACACATTTTGCGTAAAAATGACTGTATACCAGAAGTTGCTTTGTTTAATTAATTGTTACCACACATTTATAACTTATTTGGTAATAATTGTACTTTCAGGCTGCAAAGGGACGGCGGGAGGGGGGAGGGTTATATCCCCTAGACTAATGAAAGTGCGCAAGAAACTAGGACGGTTTGTTTATTTTGTATTCATACAGCAAAGCCAAAGAATCTGGCAGTCAACTTTGATCCTTCGGATTCCTTCTAAGGGACTTGGTCTCGCATGTCGAGAATTTGTCTGTAGTCAAGCCAATGTTCCGTCGCCAATGGCGCTCAACAGACACTTGATATCGTTCACTGACATTGAATGACTGCCAAATGCTCGTCATACTTTCATATTTCAGTATAAGCCTCTAAGGCATGAATAATACTAATATTGACACTTGTTAAAAGTAAAACAAAATACATTACTCAAAACTATTCTCTTGAAATACTTGCCTTTGGGAGAACAGGTCGAATGAAAACCAATCAAAACTGAAAATTTCTTTTATGAATCTTTTCAACACCAGCAAACTTATCATTATGTAATTAAGAATGAAAAGATTAATATTATATTCTATATATTATAAAATATACTTTACTTCCGTTTGCCTTTGCTGGATAGCCTATTCAGAAACTGGAAAAACAAAATTCCAAAAATGTTTTACATTTCGAAGTCAGCAACTCATGCCAATTGGCAATTAGAACATCCGGCGGATAATCAGAAATCGAAATAAGAATGCTGAATTCATGTCGTCAAAACTGTATATGCCCTTATAGCAGGTTCTCCCAGCCATTCTTTTCTCCGCTTTGATATATTCACACGGTGAAAATAGTCGAACAATATACTAAAGAGTCTACACACGAATGCAATTATTTTTATGCTCTTCCGTTCGATATCTCTCTCACAAAGGCAAAGAGCGCAAGAAGCAAATTGAAGGAGCACAGTGCCTAATTAAGAACACGTTTTCATTTCATCAAAGAATAAAAGGATATCTTTCTGCGGTTTGAAAAACGTGACTTTCGGGAAAACTCGGAAAAACAATTCAATAATAAATTTATTGGTGGAATGAGAGTGTCATAAAAGCCTTAAAACGTCAAATTCGATCAAATATCAATTTTAAAAATCACATATTACAGTCTTAGTCCTGACCCTAACTCATACTCATATGGGTATCAGTAGATTTCCTTAATTGATTCATAGCAGTATAATTCTACAGTCTAGTTTCATATATACGTTAATTTTCTATAAATGTACTCTTTAAATTTAATTTTGACAGTCTTTCGACCATGTGTCTGTAATTATTCCAATATAATCAGCTAACTGTCTCGTTCAGCCTTCTCAATTCAGCTTGAGAGCCTGTTCGCAGGCTAGTTCAGCCTTTGCCGGGTTGTTACAGTTAGCTTCAGGTATACCCCTAATTTTATATGTTTTATAATCATTACTATATTTAATTTATGTATGTAAATCTACGGTACTAATATATTTCTTGTTCATGCTTTCTACTTCGGAGTACTTCCTATATTTTAGTGCCATCATCAGGGAAACATGATGAATATATTCGTGAGAAAATCAAACACTGTGTTATCAAAATATAAAAGTTGACTCAAGCAGGATTTGAACTCGCATATTCAGCGAACCGGGACGCTCTGAGGCTGATATTAAGATATACTTTATATAATATCAACTTAGACTTAGTCTTAAAATTTCATTAATGATTCTACTTCCTAAGTTCATTAAATTGTTGAAGCTTCTTAAACATATAGAACAATTTCACTATAAAAATTTTATTTACTGAATACAGTAAATTAATAAATAAATAAATTTAAGAATAATCTAAAATAAATACTATGAATAAGGGTGAAAGTTTCAGAAGAAAAATTAATTCCAAAATATAGTTCGCTATACTAATATAGTTCGCTATATCAAAATACTAATCAAAATATAGTTCGCTATACTACTAACTAGACCACTAATATACCTTACCGATTATTCTCTTTCACCCAATGGGGGCAATGGCCTCGTTTTCATGTCAAATACTCACTCATGTTTTGTGCTTATAGTAGGGTTGAAAATTACTTTGTTATTGAGCCTAAAAACAGCAAGACAAAATTCGTCCAGGAAAACATAGGAATATAATCTTTATATGCTCCTGACATGCTAAAATAAGTTAACATGGAAAGGAGGCCATCATGGGTAAAAGAGAATAATCGGTAAGCGGTCTATTACGAACTTGTCCGGCCAAAAAAGATAAACACGGCAAACAGCTTGACGGTCATACGTCAATCCGTTCTGCGTGCTCACTAGGTATGCGTAGGAGACTACACACGAACTTGCTTTACGTACGTAGTTCGTCTTGATGGATGACCCGTCACCGGGCGGCAAATTACTCCTCGAACTCAATGTACCGAAAACGTTTGAGCCAGTTATTTTGGCGGACTTTTTGGAGGAAGCAGAACAACATTTGTTCTTATTATTTTCAATGTTCTGGTGAAACAATTTTATTTTCCCAATTTGATACAAGGCAGTCGTCAGAATCATGCATAATTACTTGGGATAAAAATTTTATGAAGTTAAATGGACCATTTGCATTATAGATTAAATTTTGATCTAAACAAGTCTAGACCAAAATTTCATCACAGCTTGATAGAGCATCGCAAAATTAGTAATATTCCAAAGTTTCGTTGCGAAATGTTGTAAAATGCGGATAATATAGCCTTGCGAAGCCGGTTTGCCGTTTTTCAGTCATTTTGTATTACAAACGGGAAATTGACAGCCCCAGAAGGGTATTGGGCTGTTAATTTCCCCCGCGTAATGCAAAATGACTGAAAAACGGCAAACTTCGCAAGGCTGCCTATATCATCCGCAAGATGTGCTTGTGCTGTTTCGACAGTGCATAAATAAGATAGATAGACAGATTAAGTTCCACACTACACCGGAGCGAAAAAATGCCGGCAGAATTTGCGTGTGTTCACACCAAGCCGTTACAGTTTGTTTACAAATTAAATTAGCACTCATGTAAACTCAAAATATTCAAACAGAGCAACAAAATTTAAAGGAAAAGCATTCGAAGTATTGTTTCAAGATCTGAGACGCATGGTTCGCGAGCGGTTTATACTGTTTATAAATCAATAATCCAACCACACTTTGATTATTGCTCACAAGTTTGGGGTTGCCTAGGAAAGGTTTTATCAGATAAACTTCAGCGTCTCCAAAATAGAGCGTTTCGTATTATTACCCGTGAAGGATATGAAACGCGATCAAAAGATATTCTAATCAGGGCAGGATTTTCAGATCTGCAAACAAGAAGGGAACAACAACTTGCTACATTAATGTATAAGATTAAACATAAAATGCTTCCAAACTACCTGCAGGATATTTTCATCAATACGCAAGAAGTCCATAATCATAACACTAGGCATAGTGAATTTAATTATACATTACCAATGCCAAATACTAATGCTATGAAAAAATCATTGGCCTACAGAGGTGCAGAGACTTGGAATGCTCTCCCAATATTGACCTGAAGTCGTTAGGAAGTATAGCAACTTTTAAGAGTGGGGTAAAACAATGTAGATTGATATAATGTTAAGTTATAAATTTTTTTTATATTTATAGTAGTTAGCACACGGCCTATTGGAAGATCACTTTTTTCTGGTTGTTTTTGTAAATAATATATTTTTAATATAATGTGAAATAGTACCGTGTTTAAATAAAGTTGAAGTTGAAGTTGAAGTTGAAGTCGGTACAAAAAAGTTCATCTCGCTGCTCCGTTTAGAACCGTGTGACAAATTGTTACTTCCAGATCCATCGTATTCTTTGAGATAGTCATTTAATTCAGACGTAAATTTTAGATTCCAAGAATATATTTTATAACTTTTTAGAATTCTCAAGCATATATTCGTGGACTTTGGGACTTTTAATGACTTATCGTACCCAGGATTTTTTTCACCAGGGGGCAGTAATATATAAGCGCTAGCATATGTCAGCGAATACCAGCGTATGAGTGATATTTTTCATACGCTGGCATACGCTAGTACGATATGCAATAGTGTGACAGGGCCTTAACTCTTAAGTAGCTCAAGTAGCTGAATCATGCTTCAATTTCAATGCACAAATCACCCCAACTTCGAATAACTAACAGTTGGGCAGTCTGCAGTCTGTCGTCAGTAAACTTAAGGTCTTCTCTATTTCTTTAGAGAATTGCAATAATTTTACACTGAATGATTTTAGAAATTTTCAAAATGAACGGTTCCTATATTGAACGATTCAATTAGTATTAAAAGCAGCTGCAAAAAACATGAACACGACTCCCACTATTGACAGGACTATACAATATTGTAACGTCAGAACCACTTGAGACAAAGGCAAACCGCTCACGTAACGTTAGAATTATTAATCCATTCTCCTACTCGTGTACTTGATATCCCCCATTCTATTCTTGTATTATTTGTTTAATTTGGGTTACATCGCTACGTTTATTTTCAGGAGACAAAACGGGTGCTTATAATCTTGATTCTTACAATCTTGAGAATCAGAATGTATACGTTTCGAGCACGGTCGCATACGGTGGCATACGCTGGCATACGGCGAGGCCCAGCGAGACAGAAACCGGCATTTTTTTAAGCATGCTTAAACTGATTTTGCGCGTATTCGGACGTATGGTTTATACGATAAGCATACTCTAGGGCCTCTAGGCACACGCTGAATACGCTAGAGGTACGTGTACGGTACTCATACGCTGGCATTTTTGCAAGGGATTTTTGTAATTTTGAGCGTATGAAATTTATTTCATTAATTTTCATACGCTTCTCATACGTTTCTCTCATACCGCAATATTTATCGCTGATGATCGATCTCATCGCGTGATCAGTTGAAGTTTCCCGTTTGCCCGGATATAGCTGACGGTTGGTCGCAAACGTCAACCTACGCCCCGCTCAAACGAGGACGAAAATTGATGACAGTTGGGTAGATACTTCATTGATGTTTTTGCACCGTAGTAATTAGAGCTCATTTTGCTGCATATAAAGGCGGGGGAGGGCAAGTGGCAATGTCTTGACATGGCCCACAACTCGGGGTTAGAGGTTAGAGGCGGGGTTGGGGTCAGGTGTCCGCCTTGATACAATATAATAGGGGTCACACGAAGTATATACCGACAGTTCCGCGTTTGTTACGGGGGACATTTCAGGCTCTAGATTAACAAAATAAAAGTTTGATGAGTGTTCCACCTATGTTTTAACTTGAATAGAACGGCATGATAGTGTTGGGAAAGCATGATTAAGAACAGCTAGCCAAGGTGGTGTGACTGCCAACTCTCATGGACTGTCATCCTTGTTTGATCGAGATTTAAGTTTTCTACAATTGTATGATGCTACAATTGTATCCAATTACACAAGATGCTTTATGTAACTATCTGTGGTTAGTTGTCCACGTAGGACCATATATGTCACATGGGACACTGAAAACGACCATATAAGCAGCGATCACTGTTACTCATAAATCACAAAACATCGTTTAATTCACTACCCATGTGCCCATTTCTTGGGGTTTCCTATAGGAGCGACTATTCGCAAACTTCCAAGCAATCGAAACGTCAAAAAACGTAAAGTTTAGGTACAGTACAAGAACACAAATCTCGCAGTTAGCTATCACAAATCTTTATGTTTAGGCCGAGTGTCTGTAAAGTCAGAAATCGTTGGGGTGTTACGTCCTGGTAACATCATTAATAACAGTTACCGGTTCAAACAAGTCTAGACAAACAAGTCTGGACATGATCATGACCTTTAGGGCGTGCTTCGCAGACCACTTTTTCCGTGATTAATATTTAAATACACAACACCGTTCAACCTTGACCTTGCTTTTCGAAAAATATATAACCTTTAGTTTTAAATATTGGAGAAAATGAACATATCTTCTCGAACTCTTTACTGTATGCCATTTTGCATTTTCTGTGTACGTACGTTTTCCGGTCCGTTTGTGTACCGACCACTGATCTAATATCAGTGTTACCGACGCCTTTAGCCGAAAATGCTTTGTATATTAATATAATCATTTTGTAGTTTTCTAGGATTGAAAATAGTATCTGTCAATGAGGAAGACAATTTTATACTTAAAGCCAGACACAGGCACCTTGACTTTGTTTTTGAGAAGATCAAATAATTGTTTAGATTTGGTTTAAATTACAGACTCGCCCTTCCGTTCTGCAACCGAATTCTAAAATAAGAAACGGATTTTGTGTGGGAGGGGAACTTCGAAATTTTCGAAGAGTGAAATGCAAATGCCTTTCAGCAATTTGCTCAGAAGTTATTAATATTTAATAAATATTCAATAAACTACTATCGACAGTCTTCAATGTAGCGAAAATTATTTTCTCACAAAATTAGAACAAAATGTGACAATTCTAATTAATCGAAATATTGAATGTTGCGAATTCATTTCATTTAGAAAGAAATGTTACAAACTGTGGCTAAAATTTCAAAGTTAAAAAAGTTATAGAAAGCATCTATCAATTATTAATATCGCTTCTAAATATTGGCATAACAGCAGCATATTTTATCACAGGAAGCCAGGCTCTTGCTGCTTATGTTTTATTATGAAAATTCATCAATATCGAAGATAAGACCGGTGTAGCGCAAACTTTAAACTTGGCTGTTTTTTCCCGGCGCTTGACGAATTAGCATGATAACATTTTACAGCTTTCATCTTATTAATAATTAACAATGATGCCAATGTGTGTAATAATAATAATAAATACTCCTACAGATTATCAATACTCAGGCTAATAAATAGCGTGCAAGGCCTCCACATTCACGCTTATGTGATATTATATCAATTTGTTAGAACAATGTCATCTGTAACTCCGCCCTGTGAAACTCCTCGGCGGATTGGTTGAAGAGGTGTTTGATGTAATATTAATATTACTAGGAATTTCACTCACGAGATCAGCCACACTTCAAATTTATTCAGAAAACAGGAAGATGAAATTGGCAGGAAGTCGATGCTGTCATAACTTGAAATAGGGCCTCGCAGAAGTTATAAAGCATTCGGTCAAAGCCATGTGGTAAGTCTTTAGCTACGACACATCAGTAGAGAGAGCATTAAACTCGAAGTTCTTGAGCAGAAAGATAGAAACCTTTTGACAATAAATATTCAAATAAGTGAGTATTTTGAATACCTTAGGAATATTAGATTACGTAAAATAAAACCGCTCGTATCGAACTATGGTTTAGTTTCGTTTCATTTTGAAACTTTACAATTTGTAAAGTAACGTTATGACTTATGGATAACAATTTTTGTTCATGTCAAAGAGCTGGCGAAAAATGTTGATAATTTGCAATAATCTTGCTACAAAAGGACAATTAATCGTTCATAAATTCCAAGCGACTAGCCTCGGTTAAAAAATACCTTGCCACGTTTGACTATTGTTTATATTATCGTTTATCGAATATTTGTTGTTCGGCTCGTTTCGATAGTAGCAAAACTGGGACAATGTGGGTAAATATACTGCAGACATTGATTATCTGTATTAATATCATTATTATGTTTTTGTTCAAACAGGCTGTGGTGTTGTCGCGTCACGGATGAATTAAGTCTTCGATATGATGCAATTTATCAGAAGACCTGCTGAGTATCACAAATCGAGATTCACAATGATGGCGGAGGCAAAAGTAAAATCAGAATATGTTGTGTCGGACCCCAAAAATGGGGCTGGCCCCAGACGAAAGTCGTCGACAACTCCACAAAGCAAGGACGATCAGTCGTGGAGACAGGATATGCTCATGGCATTGCAAAACAGTGCTAATCCTGAACCAATTCGTGTTGCGTGCATGAAAAGCAATGTTAATGGCCCTGCTCATTTTGGAGAAGTATTTCATGGTACTTTATCACGAGACGAAGTCACAGAGTTACTATCTGGTGGAAATGGACGATATCTGGTTCGAGAAAGCAACAGTTCACCAGGTGATCACATACTGTCATTTAGTACTGGCGGGAATATATTGCACTATAAGTTGTTCTATGATGCTGATACAGCGAAGTATCACACTGAGTCTGACGAAAAGACTTATAATACACTTACTGATCTGATGGTGGACATTTTGAACATGCTGCGAGTCATCCATCAGTATGGGAGTCAGATAAATGGAACTCCTAATGATCTGAAAGTGGACAAGGCAAGAAAAGGGAAGCGTCCATCATTCACAAAGCCACATAGTTTTCGAATTCATCAATACATGCATCCAAAGTGGTGTGATATTTGCCATGCATTCATGTGGGGCTTAATGCATCAGGGCATGAAATGTCAAGACTGTGGATTGAATGTCCATAAACATTGTGTCAAAGATGTTGAGACTAACTGTGGCACTTGCACTGTTGAAATGAGAAACAGACCAGAGCCCAAGGGCAAACGTCGTGGCCGACTGTCAAGTGACCAGGGCCGACCTGATGAACTGTATTCATTACTCGAAGAGCACATTGCATGTGGCTACCAACTAGACTGTCTGAAATATTTGTCAAGTCTTAGACAACCAGTGACAAAGTTTGACTTACAGACACTGATGAATCCATGTTATTGTGACAACTGTTGTCACTTGAAAGATTTGGACACCCCTCTGTGTAAAACAGGCTCCCCCGCTCAAGCTTATTCATTGCCACTGGGTTGGTGTCGATTCCGACTGAACATAGTACCAAAGGACACTTTAGACGAAGTCACCACATGGAATGTTGCATATTATTCACCTCCAGCAGAAATGCTATCAAGCATTCTTGAGAAAGGTTTGGGCGACAAATCTGATTCTTCGTGTCTCGACGGCAAGGTGTTTGTGAAGCTTACACCGTCGATAATTTGTGCAGACCTTGATTCACCCGAGATTGAGTACCAAGACTCGGACGTGGATGAACTTAAGGTAGCAAAGATTGCTTTACAAGTTTATGTCAAACCTGGATCATTTCAAACCATGGGACGAGCAGGAGGCTCACCAACTGAAGAGATTGATCCGTATTTTCAAAGTAAGGATATTTACTGGGTTGTACGAGAGCATGAAGCTGTTATTCCATTTGGTGTTTTGATTAAGAGAATGAGAACAACCCATAAGAAGTCGTAATTTTAAGACTTTAACTCTACACTCTCTCATGTAAATAGAACACTTTAATTATTTAGTAATTAATCAAGGAGGTAATTATATAAGCTATATGGCATTTTAGAACAGTCTGTGTTTGTTTATTATAATGCATATCAGCAGTGGCATAGCCACAGGGGGACTCACCCTCCTTCAGAACCACCTTCGAGATATGTTTAAATCCATTGAGAAACTGGGGGGGGGGGTAACACTGATCCGATTTCATGTCCAGCTTATTAATCGCAATCTAATAACTGAAGACGCAGGCATTCTTGACCGAATTATGATGTTATAATCTTTCGAATTTTGTAAAATCTCACCTCGAAATGCACGAAATGGCATTTCAGAGACTCTGAATTTCTGAGGCTTGGGTTGTTAGCAACAGTTAAAAAGTTTTTATTTTGAACTGTCTAATGCCAGATGATTTTACTTGTCAAAGGGAATGTGCTGGGAATATGATGCATACATTGTATTAGAAAGATTAATGATTTTGCACTAAGGCAGTGAAACACACAACTTCACATATTTTTCCAAAAGTGTTTTTTTTTTCAAAACTATTTTGTGAAACTATTATGTAATAAGAGCCTTTCTATCAGCAGACCTGTACTGTAGGGATTTCAGAAGTGGGGCTTCAACTCCCCCCCCCCCCCCCTTCCCCCAATAATTTTCATTATACTGCACACATATGCAATGCCTATCATCAGGCAATATACACATGGTTACTTAAAACAAAATTATTATGGGAACCCCTCCCCCAATCGTAAAGTAACTGCGCGGTCCCTGTATTTTCTGTACTAGCAATACTTTTTGCAAGTAGCAAAAGTATCGATTACCTACAGTTAGCCTGGGTAGCGGCTCTCAGTAGGCCAGCTCTGCCTACCGAGAGCCTCAGCCTCTACGCAGGCTACCCCACAGTAGGCTGTTCTTTATTTATTGCCCATTGATCTAACAGTACTTACAGTAGACTATTAGATCATCAGTGTTAATTACTGGACACCTACAAACAGCAAGTTTTAATACGTGCTAGGCATACATTACTGAAATGCATACAGGAAGCAAGTCACTATTGACACTAATGACACAACATATTGACTTTCTGTCTCAGAAGTGATTAGGAAGGAAAGCACTCAGTTTGCATAGTCGTGCCGCAATGCTGCTTTGAAAGCAGACCCCAAGCAAACTGTTTTGCATTGAAAACACTTTTTTTCCAAAAAAGGCAAATATTTTTTATATGTGTCGTAGACGCCACGCCATCACATGTATTGTCTGTATTTCCGAATAGTTGAGTTTCCCTTTGGCTTTGGCTTATGTATTATGCAAATCAGCAAATTAAAAAGACGATCAGCGGATCCTTTATGCCTTATCAGTCCAGTAGTCCACTGTCATACTTGAGGCACTTGATGTTGGCATTTTCAGTTTTTATCAGTTCCGTCCATTGTTTATTAACAGATATTTTTAGCCTTTTATCAGGAATAATAACGTAAGCGTGTTACTTATTTATGAGTATAAAACATCGACAAAACAATATTAAAACTCAGTCAGCAATATAGTAACTTATACTAAGCGATTTGTTTAATATTATAAGTCTATGACTCCCATATTGTCTATAGTTAAGGATTTCGGCGCAGTATGCCCACGGTTCGTGGCTATAACTATAAGGTATCCTGGATTTCGGCATATCTTATAGCCACGGTTTGTCGTCCCCCCCCCCCCTCCCCCATCGGGGTGAGATAGTTATAGGTGTCTCTGGTTAGGAGGGGTAAAGAGGGGGGTGGGGTGAGGGTTAGGTTATCGGCAATGTGTCTGTATGATGATATACATCAGATTCAAGGATGACCATATGATGATATAGAATAAGAGAATGTGTTGCATATACATACCTAAATCCGGTATGCTTATCAGCATGTATGTATGGTCTAT